GCCGGCAGGGCGGCGATCCTCTCCCGCAGCTTTTCGACAGTTCGCGCTAGCTCCTTCCGCCTCATCTGCGACCTCGTCTTCTTATACACTCTTAATTTACGATACTGATAGGGCTTTTTGAGTTTCATGTGGTAATATTTCTCTCGATCGAAATCGTTCCACCTGTCGTCGTCCGAGCTAGTCTTCGTCTTGAGCGCGGGTCCGTCGACCGCGTCCTCGCTCTTGCCGCTTCTGTTGTCGGGCGAGTCGACGTCGCCGTTCCGCTTCTTCTCGCAAACGCCATTGGTGAGCGCGCCTCGGGCGGCGCCGTTCGTGAGAGAGTCGAGGTCGAGGGGGTCGTGGGGCCGCCTTCGCTTGCGACGGCTGCCAGCGTCGATGGTCGCGTTGCGCAGGGTGCTCGGGCGGCAGTAGTACATGGCTAGCTCTTTGGAAACGTTCCGGCGGGGCGTGGGCTGTTTCCAGCAGTGGTCTCGCTGCCAGGGCGAGGAGTGCACGGAGCTGTTGTCGTCGGAGACGGATAGCGAAGCTGAGGGCGCGGGCGCGGGCGGCGTAGGCGGCGCGGCGGCGGGCGGCCAGAACGTCTTGCGCGGCACCGACACCCACCCCGCGCGCTCTCCCTCGCGGGCACACCCGCGTACGAGCTCCAGAATAAACTTTCCATCTGGAATGACATATTTTAAAAATTACTCTTAGTTTAGTAGACAGACAAAAATGTGAAAAAAAAATCTACTGCGATCAGAATCTAAAAATTGTGATTGCATAATTCATAAAAATAATATATACTGATCTAGCTAAAACTTGCAGCTTCATATGAATAGAACAAATTGTTTTTTATTATTATTTATATCACATGCTAAAGGATGCTTTGTACCTTATTTCATCCACTGCAAGCTTTAAATACTAAACTAAAAGTTGTCTTGTCTTTAACCTACACAAAAATATAAGCTCTATGATTCAAAATTCTACAAACTTGGATCAGCTGTTTAAACTTCAATATATATGTATATTGTAATTGTTTTCCTTTCATGATATGGATTTAATTAAATTAGTGATTGACAAGCTAAAACATTCTATCTAAAGCATTACTCATATAATTAAATAACATGATAATATTTTTATCAGCCTTGGGGCCGATTCTCTAAACTTTAACCTGAATTTAATTCTTTAAAGAGAATGATGACCATGATACACCTTTCAAATTTAATTTTAGGTTTAGAGAATCATGCCATAATCGGACCTTTTGCAATAACTTTATATGATTCAATAATATTTTTTATGACTACACATCATAGTTGTAATTAATTATTTAAACTTTATATTAGTAAAAACTTGTAAGAAATGTACCTGTTCTTTTAATGAATACCATTAAAAATTTTCTATATTGACTTTTCATTATCAAAATACACTAAAATTTGATGGTTAGGTAAACACTTGATAATAATATTAGAAAAAAAAATCATGTTGCAATAATACTGCTAGAAATGACTGGCGTTTAAAGCATAATTAGTGGCAATATCAACTTTCATATAATGTATATATGTTATAATAAAACAAAATCACTTCCTGAAGTTTCATTTCATCACACATTCTTTAAAACACCACAAAACATTTTAAATTTTTAAAAGTCTGCCTATTTGACTCTGCCCTCATTAGGCATTTTTTCATTTATTTAGGGAACTGATCTATTTATTAGGTGACAAATCTATTATTTTCTACATCTATAATAGCTGCATGTGACTTACATATCTAAAAACACACCTTATATTAGCACTGTAGAAAAAATTGATGTATCTATAATAGAGTAGGTAATATTAATTTAATGATTAATAATTAGAGATCCTTTTGATTACTATAAAAATAATGTCTTTCTTGGTAATAGATATTACTACATATTAGGGTATTCCAGATTAGTGATAAATCTAAACATAGGTGACAGAAAATATAGTTGCCAAAGAAATCATATTTATTTTCCAACTAGCTGTGCCCCGCGTATAACCCTCAGTTTATTAGTGATATGTGTTAATCCAGGGTGTCACCTAACTCCATACCAAATTTTATTAAAATCTCTCCAGCCATTTAGATGTGGCGAAGTAACAAACACTCACAAACTTTCGCCTTTATAATATTAGTGTGATATCTGAATAAAGTAGACTCATTTACACAATGAAATTTTCTTGTACATACAAGAGCAACAATTTAATACAATAATAAATTGAGGTGCAATAATTGACCTTAAAGATTTGTAAGCAACTGTTTACACGCGGGCATAGTGAAAAGTTTGCATATAATCATTGAATGAAAAATTTTACAAGATATAATTGCCTTGTCTTTTGTTTTCACTAATACAATAATTGTGGAGGTCCACATCAAAACATTACATTTACATCTTAAATGATTTTACACATTTTGAGAAAAACAAATAAGTCATCAATGCTTAAAGCAATCTCTATACTCACTGTGGGAAAAAAACTTATTAATGCATAGATTAATTTGGGTCAATCATCATGTAAATATTTATACTTTTACACTCATGAGAATTATTAATAAAATAAATGTTATGTTTTGGTGCAAGTAATTTATTAATGCAGCGTTTTGGTAAGATCATTGTAAAAATGTTAGTTTTTTATTGTGATCTATTAACAAATGTCACTTTTTGGTATGAATAAAAAAAGACATTTTAATTAATGTATTTTATTATAAAAAGAGGAATATACATATTATTATTATTTATTTTATTATAAAAACCTAAACTCAGAGTGAACAATCTTCTTTAGCGCATAAAATTGTTATGTTTTGGTGCAACTTGTTGATTTCATAGAGCTATCATGCTACAGGCAAGAAACTTGCATCATGTAAATGGCCCTTCAATGCAATTATCTTTTAAAAAATGTACATCAATAACATTGCCAATCATATAGTTCATATAACAGCCCTCATTACCTTTTTTGACAACTTTAGTTGCCTTTTAGTGAATGTACATAATTGTTATAATGTATTTAGCTTGAAATTATTAGATTCTAATTTATTCATTTAAGTTTGAAAAGTAAAAGAGTAAGATATATATGCTTGAATTTAATTTTGTTATTCTATAACAAAAGCACTTGTCACACCAAAGATAAGTAATTATTAGCCTAATAAATAAATTTATCAAGGTTAGTACAAAAATAATTAGGTGTAAGTACCTTTAATGAACATTAATTAGTTAACATGCTTTGTGTCTATATCAATTAAAACTCACTTGTCTTAAATGTTTGTTTATTAGGTTACATAATGTATTCACCAGCACATGCAAAGAATATTTATGTATCAGTGCAATAGGAGTGATTTACATTACAAAATTTGCTTATTTTACGGATGATATATTCATATAAACTTTTACTATCCGTATTTTTTAAGAAACTTATTTTGAATAAATTTCTCATATCTTGATTACTTCTAATTGGATATTATTTATATCAAAGGATTATTAATTAGAAATTATAATAGTAATCAAAGCAAGGACATAACATTCATTTTTACTTTTTCTGTTCATAAAACTAATTCAATCATAAATTGATCTATTAAAACTTACTAGTGTAATATAATTAAATTCAATATATATGCACATTATCATTGCGAACAACTGTTTTCTATGTTTATTTAAAACTACTTTAGTTAGGACAAATTGACCAATAGTGTTTATTTCCACTAGGGTGGGTACAATTTCTTACGAAACAACAATAGCATAGAGGCTGCATTCAAACAATTGGCAATGGCTCAGGCAACAGTGCCTATGTATGCTTATCAGAGCATGAATAACTTTCTACAAAACTTGATGTTAACAAGCTTTAAAAACCTTTTGCTTTAAGAATATTCAAAACTTTTGACATGCAAAATACAGCAGCGCACTGACCTTTGAAGAACTTGAGCCGCCCACCAGTTGCTGCGAGGGGGGAACCCTGCACAGAAGTCTCTTCATTTACACCCTTGCCACTACTGTTACCATTAACGCCATGTCTTCTGTCTACTTCTTCTGTCATTTTGGTACATGTTGTCAGAGTTGTGTTGGGTCCTTCCTGTATATGCATTTCATTTCTGACCGCTCATACAGCCAACAAACGTCACTTTAGTCCAAACATTCTCGCCATAGCGCATCGAGCGTAAGGAACGGTGGCTCGTTAACCACTGGCGGATCCGATTCGACATTCAATATATCCGTCAAAGTCTTCATCCTAAGGCCACCTGCGGATTACAAGCTCGTCCAAAACTAAAACGTATAAACACATACCGACACGGTGACTACTGAATTGAATCAAAGTATCAAACGGATCCTCTTTACGAGGGCACTTTACTCTTGACACTGGCTAAATAACCACAAAACAAATCCGCGACGCCGGATTCCCGATTATAATCGGGCCCACGACACAATTCAATAAAAAGCTGTTCGTTTTTCAGAACATAGTTCATTCACACCCAGCATCCATTTTGATTCGTTCAAAATCAAATATGATCGTTCTTTTTGTGAAATCAGATTGCGTTTTTAAACGCGTTTTGTTTTGGCTATTATCAAAACACGTAATTCTAAATATTGCAATAAATAGGTAATTATTTAAATTTGTGGCTCATACATTGAACAGTGTATAAGAATAGAACAGTGAATAATATTTTGAAGAATCAATTATTTGCATTTCCAAGAGAAACCAGGTTTGCATATTAAATGCTTCTCTGCTTAAAAATAAGCAAACAAAAATATTCAAATTGCAAATTTAAATGTAAAAAAGATTAATTTTGGATGTAACGAATATCTCAATAAAAATTAAAATAATACGGATTAAGGCTCTATAGACTCTATCTTCTGTATCATTACAAACACGAGAGAATTTAAAAGTTAAAATTTTGTCTATGTCTATTTCTGCGCCATTTTCTAAAATGCTTGTAAATTATCCTTGCTCAATGGTTAGCTCGAATTGTGTTATTTTCTCTTTCTGTCGTGGAGATATTGCCGTTTGCCAGAAAAGAACATAAAATTTAACTAGTGACAGTGGTGACAGCCAGCAGTAAGGATTTTTTATTGTGTTGTGTGGGATTTTCTGGTGAGGTGAAAGTTTTGTTTGCGCGTGAATCCAATAATCCAACCTCTCAATCAAATTAATTTGGGATACATTCTGAAATACCTGTCATAAAATTAGTTGCTCACAGAATTACATTTCAAGATGACTGCATCAGAGGTTTCTATCAATCGCAAGATAATATCTGAGGATTTATCAAATGTGGAATTCGACACAAGCGAAGATGTGGAAGTCATTCCAACATTTGATTCCATGGGCTTACGAGATGAACTATTACGAGGAATATATACATATGGTGAGTATTAACTTCATGCCATCTTCACCTATTGCCTAAACATTTCATTATGTACTTGAAACAAAAATAAATAATCTTTATTGATTCATTTTATTTTAGGATTTGAGAAACCCTCTGCTATTCAACAAAGAAGTATTCTGCCTATTGTCAAAGGTAGAGATGTAATAGCTCAAGCTCAATCTGGTACTGGTAAAACAGCGACATTTTCGATTTCCATACTTCAATCTTTGGACACAACTTTGCGTGAAACCCAAGTTTTAATACTGTCTCCTACTCGCGAGTTGGCAACGCAAATTCAGAAAGTTATTCTAGCTCTAGGTGACTTCATGAATGTTCAGTGTCATGCATGTATTGGAGGGACAAATCTTGGCGAAGATATTCGTAAACTAGATTATGGACAGCATGTAGTTTCTGGTACTCCTGGAAGAGTTTTTGGTAAGTAAATTGACTAATATACAACTGTGTATCTATGGCAAAGTCCTAATACTCTGTAAAAACCAATACCTGAGAAATTTCAATGTTGCTTAAAGCCTAGCTTAATCTATACTAATATTATAAAGCTGCAGTTTGTTTGTTTGTTTGAACACGCTAATCTCTGGAACTACTGGTCCGATTTGAATGATTCTTTCAGTGTTGGGTAGTCCATGTATCGAGGAAGGCTATAGGCTATATTTTTTTTTTTCAAAATTAGGGATCCGTAATAGAATTGCTATTTTGTAACACAAGGTGTAAAATCGAAAACCTATTTTTGCGTGCGCTGCAAAAACTATTGACAATAGAACAAAATGATGTACTACGGGTTTGTAGATCCCATTAAGACCTACAAAAAAGTCCACGAGAACATATATCTAGCTATCATGGTTTAATCACAATAACCGATTTTGTGTTCAAAATAATTATTAAATTGTCTGAAGCAAAAAAACTACGTTAAATATGTATCGTAATATTAATCTTTATCGAAATTAAGCATTATGTTATCAACAGTATTTATGTAGAAGTAAAATACTTTTTGTTTCATCTCAATCGGATATTTCGTTTAAAAGTTATCACGTGTGTAAGAGTTGGTACCTATTAATGAGTTATGGGCCATAGAGTTTTTTTATCAACATAAAATCCTGTAATAATCTTTTTTGAAATATATTTGTTGATGTTTGTAAACACGGGTGAAACCGCAGGGGCACAGCTAGTTTGATATAAAATAGTTGTTTATTGACATCAAACTGGATTCCACCTACACTTAACAACAGATGCGGGATAATTGTTGTCTCTTCTAAAACAAAACTTTTAGATATTGACTTTCTTAGTACAAAAAAGATATTTAAATATCTTATGATGCGTTAATAAAATAAGAACAAAAGACTATAAACACACAAAAAAATGTTGCTTTGCAAAACTATAATATTGTGATAATAAGCATTATTAACACAGTATTATAAGATATTAAAATATCATTTTTGAACTAAACTAGAAGTAAACCTTTTTGTAACTAGTTTTTATGTACCCATATAAAAATTTAGTAAGTATTGTTTCCAAAATTTTCATATCCATAAAAACTAGTTACAAAAAGGTTCACTTCTCATTTAGTATTAGTTCATAAGATATTTTAATAATAGTTATGATTTTAAATACTTAGTCTTTTAATATATATATTATTATTTTTTTTCCCACTAGACATGATCAAGAGACGTGTTTTGAGAACAAGGTCAATTAAAATGCTAGTGCTTGATGAAGCAGATGAAATGTTAAACAAGGGTTTTAAGGAGCAAATTTATGATGTATATCGCTATTTACCTCCAGCAACACAAGTTGTTCTTATTTCAGCAACATTGCCCCATGAAATACTTGAAATGACATCTAAATTTATGACTGATCCAATTAGAATTTTGGTTAAACGGTATGTACCTATGTCAATTAAATTAATTTAAAAAATTACAATTAATCTAATTACCTAAGTGTTAATTAATAATCCATAATTCCTTACAGTGATGAGTTGACATTGGAAGGAATCAAACAATTCTTCGTAGCTGTGGAGAGGGAGGAATGGAAGTTTGATACATTGTGTGATTTGTATGATACTCTTACTATTACACAAGCAGTTATATTTTGTAACACAAAGAGGAAAGTTGATTGGCTCACACAGAAGATGCAAGAAGCCAATTTCACAGTTAGCTCTATGCATGGTGATATGCCTCAGAAGGAAAGAGACAATATCATGAAAGAGTTCCGTTCGGGACAAAGGTATACATAAATATTATAGCATAAAATGGACACATATTTTAGTATGTTTATTTTTAGTCTCATAATTCAATTGATTGTTTACAGCCGTGTTCTCATAACAACTGATGTTTGGGCCCGAGGAATTGATGTGCAGCAAGTGTCTCTTGTCATAAACTATGATCTGCCCAACAACCGCGAGTTGTACATACATAGAATTGGTCGATCTGGCCGATTTGGTCGCAAGGGTGTGGCAATCAACTTTGTGAAGTCAGATGACATTAGGATTTTGAGAGACATTGAACAGTACTACTCAACCCAAATAGATGAAATGCCAATGAATGTGGCAGATTTAATATAAGTTTTATTTTACTTCCTATGAAAACTGTAAGTATTGTTTACAAAATTTTCATATACATAAAAACTAGTTACAAAAAGGTTCACTTCTAGTTTACTTTTAGTTTAATAAAGATATTTCAATAATATTTATGATTTTAAATACCTAGTCTTCTAATATATTTATTTTTTCTCCCACTAGAAATGATCAAGAGACGTGTTTTGATACCCAGGAATTATAAAGTACCCAGTAAGTAATACTGGTGAAACTTTGGTGAATGGACTAATATCCTCATTCTGCTTTATGTAAACTTATCTTGTAAGCAGAATTTCTGCTGTAATCTATCCTAAATTTATTAAATACAAATTAAGCCAAAAATACTATTTTATTTTTACCACATCTATTGTAATAGCCACTATATGGCATTATAACCAGGGGGCAATTTAACTAATTCTAACACTTTATGTAATTCCCTTCAAATGTGTAATGTTTGCTTTTTGGAATTCATTTTATTTCATAGTTGAGAAAGAGTTGTTGTGTCGAACTGACACTTTCGATTTGCAGGGTATTGCTAAATGAGTAAAATTTTAATATTTGCCTCCGGTGGCCGTCCCCGCGGGCGCGACTAGGAATATACGTTCTGGTTATTTATTCCTATTTGCCCTCCGGTGGCAATCCCCACAGGGGCGACTGGGAATAAACGGATATCAGTTGCGAGGGGCCGTTCAAGTATTAGGTAGGCAGATTTACTACAATTATTTACCCCCTCCTCCCCCTTGTCAGCAAAAGTTAACAAATCTCTTACCCCCAATGCTTACGGAAACAAAGGTACCTATATGCATTTTTCCTTTAATGTATTCTGTATTTATATTGTAATCGAAAATAAACAAACCAAAGACTGCCCCTGCCTCCCTACAGTGCTTACGTAATACTTGAACGGCCCCTGAATGATAGCAAAACAAACAACTGTACTATAGAACCACATTGGTAATGCAGTTGGTATTGCACTAAGAAGGTATTTAATTTTCACCGTCTGCATAGGAGTAAGAAGCTAAGAATAGACATACGGAATTAATGTAATGGTAAGAAATGTATTGGTATTTAATAAGCAACTGAGACTTAATTGCTTGTAAGTATATGTATAGATGTTGGAATATATTCTACTAATATATTAAGTTTGTATGTTTGTTATTCAATGACGTAAAAAAGGCTGAACAAATTTGGATGAAAATTGGCACACATAGTTTATTGCCTGGATTGATATATTTTCATCACTCAAACCTTTAAGGCGCTTTGCAGACGGCGGGGCGGAGCGGGCCGGTCAATTTCGCCGCGAATAATAGCGCAAAGTGAATCCTATACTTCAAACGCACACAGAGGGCAAAAAGACAGCGCCGCAGGTGCCCGGCGGCGCGGCATGTCCGCGGCTGCCCGCCGTGGATCATACAAACCAGTTTATATGCAGTAACGCAGACGGCGGCGCGGGGCGGCTAGCTCAGTCCGCGCCACGCGCTTTTTAGTGATGGACTATTCACTAGAATGAACGTGCTGAATTGACTGCCTCTGCCCGTCGTGTGCTTAGTGTACGCGGCGAGGGCAGCCGCAGACATCGACGGGCAGACGCGGTTTTTATTGCTTCGCGGACAAAAAGCCCGCCCCGCCCCGTCGTCTGCAAAGCGCTTTAGGGTCAATTTATACTAGCGCAGAGTCGAAGCGCATCGTAGCGTAAATCCAATTATTAACATAACAAATTCAACCTTATCTCAACAGCGGACTGCACACATTACTTCGGAGATTTAAAAAGACGCGCGCTCATTCGACGTTCGTCTGCGCGTGACCAACGCCAAACCCTGATTTGCGCGCGCGCATTCTCGAAAATCTACGCGTCATCAGTCAGAAATTAGCCTGTGATGATAGATCAACTGACAAGTGATGCAATAACACAGCTGCTGATAAAAGCGTATTCTCGCGAATACGCGCATTTGTACAACTTTGTTTTAGTTGTGAAGAATTTTACGCTGCGATGCGCTTCGACTCTGCGCTAGTATAAAGTGATCCTTATAACCTACCACCCCGCACTCCCGGCGTTGTCACGTACTTGATGGATCATGGTCCTTAATGTGTGCGATCATAACGCAACGTCAGAGTGCGTGTTGGAAGATCGGTGCTGTAGATTTCATATTATCATTGTAACCCCGGTGGCGTGGCATGCGTCATGCTTTTACTATACACTGACCAACGGCTGATCCATGCAATACGTACGTTACGTATATAATGTGCCTTATGCATCGACGTGACGAATGCCCCCCGGAAATGCTGCTGCCAGCCAGCCACTGACCCGAAAGACTTTCTGTCGCTGGCGAAAAAACGACGTGCATCCATATTCAAGAAAGTGATGTACAAAATTCAGTATTATCAATATCAACATAGTTTTTTTATTGCTCTTATTGGAACTCTGATCCTGTGACTGAACTATCCATCGAGGCAATGCAATAATTCGATTTGAGACTGTTTATGACAATTCAACCTATTTTGTGATTCAACTGCGTACAGCTCCGAACGCGTACGTATGAGAACGTAAGCGGTCGATCGACATAATGCGTTCCTGACTACAAATGTGCTATTTTTCATCAGCAATATTGCGAAAGGTCGCTAATCAGTGAACATTGAACCGTATACTGATTGGCGACCTTCACTGTGTTATGGTCAGTTCATACTAGCGCAATTGCAGAGTCGAAGCGTAAATCCGAAACGTAACAAAGCAAGTTCAATCTTATCACCGCAAAGTAATGAACATATTCCTTCCTTCTCAATTTCTAATTGACGTTTCAAGTCTGCGCTAGTATGAATTGACCATTAGAGGAGACTGCAGTCCAAGAACACTAGTCGACTAATGTTGGTTGAATTAAAGAGCTCTACAGGGCACCTATATAATGAAATATTATTGATAATGTGGTTCCTTAAAGAAATGTTATGAGTTTTGCCCAGGCATAACAGAAGAAAGAAGTTGTATTATACATTTATTTTAGTCAAATAATAATACACAGAAAAAGTCTTACACAATTTTATTTTAATTTACAATTTGGTCTTAAATTTGTGTTAAACTTTTTGTTAAAGCCAAACAGGTTTCTTATACAACACTGAAGAGTTGGAATGTCTTCTTTATTGACACATACAGAGTGTTACAAAATAAATATAACAACCTTAGTTTCGTTATGAAAATCAATGACATAATATATTATTTACCAATAATGAATAAATATTCATTAATTATTTACAAACTTGCATAATATGCAAAGTAAACATAGAAGTTTATAAATATTTATAATATAATCAATATCCTTCACAAAACACCATGTAAATTCAATTATAAAGGTACAAACAACTAGAGGTTTTTTGTTTGATGAAATAATGAATTTGCATTCTACAACACCTGTATCTTACCTACTATACAACATACCACTATGTAAACTAAACAATTAAATACACTCTTATTTTAAATTTAAATAAATATACAAACAGAAGGAACAATCACATTCATTGATAATTATGATGACCTTAAAAATAGCAATATCCACCCCTGAAGAGGGAGGACTAAATCATTGTTGCCTTAGAAACAAGTATCCTTTTAAGGCACAAGGTTTAACATTAAAATCTTACTTTAATAACATATTTAACCAAGTTTTGGTTGATCTACCTTTACTGTTATAAAAGCAAGTAGATACATGTTAACTTTTCAGATAGAACAATGAACAATTTTAAAAAGAATGAATGATTTTGTGATATCCACATGTAGGTATTTAATAATTATTATTTTAATCTCAATATGGATTAATTACAATTCTGTTTCTGCTGAAGAGTAGTGGGCACTCCAGCGTCTGTATATAAAGATTCCTATGGCTCCAACAAGCAACGCAACTAGTATTTCCATCAAGTGATCCAAAAAGCTGGTACTGGAGTCCACTGATTCCAAAACCTGAGGCTCTACTTCTTGTACAGGTTCTTCAGGGGGTTTCGCAGTTTGCTCTTCTTCACCTTTGAATGCTATTTGGTTTAATACAGACTTTTCCTCGTCAGTTATAGGCTTAGCAGCTGTTAAAGACAACAATGTTGAAATTTCTCCACATTGTGTGCAATTCCAGTTCTTTGATTTCTTAGCCAATACTTTACGCTCTGCAGGTGAATAATCCAACGATCCAATGGTTCCTTCAGATGGAGTTGGCATGAATGCAATCAATGCTAATAGAGCAGTCCTAATTGACCATGATGGTTGCCATGTCTCTGGGTGGTGTCCAGAAATCGAAAGACATATCTTTTTATTCACTTCAAATCTGCCATTAGGTGTCAGGAGAATAATATGAGGTGGATGCATAGGGTATTCTTTTGGTAATAATATCCTACCATGGTATATGCCTCCTTCGAAGTCTGTACCTTTAGGGCCTTGGACAGTAAAGTGCCATTCGAAAAGATTATCATCTAAGGGCCTCGCACAATATTCTTCTGTTGCTTCTGCCAACTCCAATGCTTCTCGCATGAGCCGCTTTACACCAGGACATTTAGTATTATATTTCTCACCCATTTCCGCCATATCAATATAATTTGAAAGCCCGAGAACTTTTCAACTAGATTAATATTTGTTGACTCAATTGAACGCGAGTAACACGTAAGTTTTTGATTATTCACATTAAAATTTGATAACAAAACCTCTAGTGTAGTTCACAAAAGACAGTTAAATGAACTGGATAGGCATGCGTCCGATATATCAAAACGAATCCAAAATCCGATTTCAAACACAAATCGATACCGAACGATTTCTCAACAAGAAAATCCGATTTTAGAAATCTAACCGAACCAAAACGCTAGCGATCTGATACCACCACAATTATCCAAATGTAAATCGGATTCGAAATTCGTGCTTTCGTTTTCGGAAGTCCGATTTCGTGCTCGGAAGTCCGATTTCGGTTTGCTGTTTACGGAAATCTATTGTTGAAAAAAGATGACGTTTAAAAACATCGAAAGTCGAGCAACTATCATTTTTTTTAACGCTAACCTGCCCCCCTAGCATGAGTAACAAAACGCGATATGATAAAGCGATTTATCGACACTCAACTGTCAAACTCCATTGTAGTTTGACAGTTAATGGTGTCAATTCTGGCGTGTTTCTCTAAACTTAAAACTAAATTTAACATCAGTCTCTCCTTTTCATTCCGTATAGAGAATGACAGGGATGCACTGTTGCCAAATTTAAGTTTAGCTTTAGAGAATCATGCCAGAATCGACATCAATGTCGATAAATCGCTTTAACATATCGCGTTTTGTTAGTCATGCTAGGGGGGCTTATGTAATTAGGTTTGATTTTGTAAATGGTTTGAAAAATAATAATAAAAAAAAAGAAATCATTGTATATAAGCCGATTTTTAAATGCGCCGCAATAGTTTTACTCTTAACCGTAAAGATAACTTTTCTGCTAGTCCTAAGCCACAGAATATATACTCTTGCCTAAGCCTAGATTTAAAGCATAAAGGAAAATCGCGAAAACTATGAGTATCCTTGCTTCGTACAATTAATTGTTTGTGATTGTCGTTAGCTAGTAAAACCAAATCTTAACACAAACTAGTGAATTGGCTAAGTTCGGCACATCTGAAATAGGATATCTAAAAACGGATTTTAAAATTGATTTTGAAATCTGAAATCCGATAAATATCCGTTTGCGTTCAAAAGCAAAAATGCCCATGTCTAGAACTGGATGAACTGACTGAAACTGAACTACACAGTTCACTTCACAGACAGAAGAATACATCTTTCGTTCCAATTACATCCTTTGCATCACGACCAAATTGGTATCGGTTTCTTAAATTTAGTATGACTAGAATTATATTTGTGTGCAGTAGAGGCTAAATCTAGATTTAGCACTGTAATTGTTTTTGTATGAGTGGTGTTGATTCTGGCATGATTCTCTAACTTAAACTTAAATTTGATAGCAGTGTATCCTGTTCATTCTCTATACTGAATGAAAAGGGGGGATAAATTTAGCTTTAAGTTTAGAGAATCACGTCAGAACCGACACCAGTCTCGTAATTACAATTTAGTTTTTGTAAAAGTTTGTTGGACAGCATATGTGTGCATATTCCTCCCCCCTTTGAAACACCTTTGAAAGAATGATTTCTTTCAGTAGTATTATGTCATTAAGGCTTCTCCCGTCCTAGCCGCGTCGTCGGCTGTGTTGCTCTATGGTTGTTGGTGAAGGCATTGTCTTAATAGCCTTTGTCTACGCAAAATGGTGAACAAAATAAAAAGATCATACAGTCAGTATGTGACAGTCTGTCGTATTGTCATAGAGTACACATAAGTGTCAAAATAGTAACCTCTGCTCTGCGTTAGCTTGTTGTAAGCTTATTATTTTTGATTTATTTTCTTGAGTGTTATTTAATTTTAAGTAATAGTAAAGTGGTGTAACTTTTTAAGTGTATGTGATATATATCTCAACAGAGCGATAGAAAATGGATGGTCCCCCGGGCAATAACGGATCAATGGGACCGCCGGGGATGCCAAGCTTTCCTCCTATGCCGCCTCCACCGGGCGCCATGGGTCCCGGCAATATTCCTCCCCCAGGTGCAATGGGTCCCGGAAATATGCCTCCACCTGGCGCAATGGGTCCTGGTAATATGCCGCCACCCGGTGCTATGGGTCCTGGGAATATGCCTCCACCTCCTATGGGACCTCCTGGTGCAATGCCACCAGTATCAGGCGCCGGTGGACCACCAAATATGCCACCAGGCATGGGGCCTCCGCCTGGTATGATGGGTATGGGACCACCTGGAATGGGCCCCCCTCCTCCGGGAATGGGGCCTCCTCCACCAGGCATGGGCCCTCCACCGGGTATGGGGCCTCCACCTGGTATGAATATGGGACCTCCTCCAATGGGCCCACCTGGGATGGGACCCCCAAGAATGCCTCCTAATATGATGCGTCCTCCAAATATGAAGGGCAATTTCCCTAACCAACAAATGGACATGGGTCCACCCGGTATGGGTCCTCCGTCTAATATGCCGATGGGGCCTGGACCTTGGGATGGGCAGGGTCCCCCAGGCTGGGGTCGGCAAGGTAGAGATGGTCCACCAGGCTGGGATGACCAAAGAGATGATAGGGAAGACAATGATCCTGAAGCCGAGGACCAGGGACCGCCGCCTGGTCCTAATGCTCTTCCTTCCTTGTTAACTATGAAGATTGACACACCAGAAGAGTTCCGCAACAAGCCAGCTCCTGTTGGTGGGGTTGTGCTACCTAAGGCCCTAGAAGAAGCTCTGGCATATAAAGATCAGAGGCAGGCTGCACTGGGAGACGAAGATGAGCAGCATGAAGAAGGTTTGTTAATGACAATATTTAAAAACTGTATGCTTCTATCTTTACCTAAAGCCATATTATTAGTAGTGAAAAGGTATTCTGTTTTATTTTATTGTAAAAATCTATTATTTAGGTTGTGTAAATATCTTGTTTTAATTTTATTATATTCACTTTGCCTTGTTCTATATGTAGGGCTTCAAACTATCCTACGCTACCTAATGTTGTGTAAGTTGAGAGGATTAGAATGCTAAATAGGTTCTTTAAGATCTAAATTCCTGGAGTGCATGGAAATTCAGTTCTTTCTTCCATATTTTTTGTAGTATTATTTCATGTCTAATTATGTAAAATAATTACAATTTATAATACTCACTAACTTGCCTGTTCTCTTGTAATAGCGATCGTCCGTATACACATAGACACTTAAGAGGATAAACAAAAAACTGTAGGTACCTATATCTTTAGGTACCAATCCATAAACACACAAATAAAAGATATACTTACAGTATTTTTGTTCATCTTGTAAAGTGTTTATGCATATACACCCCTGTTTACTACTACTTATGTGAGTAAATAAAAAAAAATAAAGAATTTATGGTATGAGACCTGTGATATATATCTGCCTAATTTTTTTATCTTCATATATATATATTTATATAGACAATCCTCCGGAGGCCCCACCAGCCCCTGTGATCAGCACAGAGTATGACGCAGAAGAAGATGAAGGTGATTCTGATGATGAAAATATTCTGGTTGCACCACTTCCACCAGTTATATCAAGACAAGAGGTATTTAGTAGCTTAAATCTTATGATCTATTTACCTGTAAAAAAAAATCCAGATCTGTTCTTCCTGAGAGCTACTTTGTAAGCTACAAAGGAAAAGCTCATTTTATTTATTAAGAACACCATAGTAATAGGGCTGATGACGGGGTACAGTAAACGAAATTCTATTTAGTCCGTCAGTTAGATGATCAAAAAATAATGGACACATATTTTTTCTTTGGGCAATCAACCAAAAAATGACAAAGTTATAGCGCGTCAAAGTTTGGGAGTAGGGGCTCTTGACGTTACTTTTGAGTGAATTTTCGCTTATAAGTGTACTCAAATGTGACGTCATGTAACTTTTCAAATCAATATATCTCTGCAATGTTTATACTATGTGAAAAAAGAAAAAATATGTGTCCATTACTTTTTGATAATCTACCTGATAAACGAAGAAAAAAAAATTAGTCATCATCCCTATTATGTACAAATCAAATTTCCAAAGTACTATCCCATTGCCTTCTTTAACAATTTTAAAATGTCTCTTCTTTAATAATAAAAATTATGATATACTTAGGATCATGATATTCCTACTTGCAAATAATCCACTTATAATTTAATCTAATTTTTATTTTTAGTCTTTTCAGTTCAATCTATGTCTTGTTATATTTGTTTACTATTCGCTAAATATTTTTTAGCCCACTGTGGGAACAAATGCAAGTAAAAATAAGCAAGCCAGCAAAGCCAGCAAGAATAAGCGTAAAAAGAAGAAGAAGAAGGCAGCAAAGCAAAAGCGTAAAGAAGAAATTAAAAACAAGGAACCACAAACTGCCAAAGTTGATGCAAAGAAGTCCAGTGGCAAAGAAAACGAGAAAGAGGCAGAAATTGAGTTAGTATTATTCACTGTATAAACAATAACTGTATAAATTTATTTGATGTTATAAAATTTTGTCAGTTTGATTATGAGGTGACAATGTTCCTTGACTGAACTATTTAATTATTAATTTTCAAGTGAGAAAATGCTTTCTCTTTAATGCAATTAAAACTATTTATTTAAACCTACATTTTACCTTTTCTGAGGAGCTCGATGGCGCAAGCTCGTAGCGCGATCGGCTGCGATCGTTTCAACGACCGCAGCTTAACTTCACTTCAGTTAAGCAACTTTCGCAGTGGTCGGTCATTGGATGGGTGACCGAAATTTATTATGTCGAACCCCTCCATGTTTCGGAAGGCACCTTAAGCCGTTGGTCCCTGCTGCATCTGCAGTCGTTAGCACCCACCAATCTGCACGGGGCCCGCGTGGTGGGATATGGATATAATCTGCCTATTCTATCTATAGGGAGCGCATCTATAGTGGGGACATTAATAGGATATTGATACCTTTTCACAGATACATACAAGAAAGTGTTCAATTTCATGAGTTGGAGCCAATGTACCGCCAGTTCCATCGTATACTTGAAGCATTCAAAATCACAGAAAAGAAAGAGGAGGTGGTTACCGATGACAGCAAAGATGTGCCGAAGCCAGCCAAGCCTCAGGAGAAAGTCCAAGATCAGTTTGCAGCTGATGAAGAGGCAGCTGAGGTAATATGTCATTCAAAGTCAAACTTTCTTATATTCAAACTGAAAACATATTACAACTACAAAAATACAACTCACATTAATAACACAACCAACACACACACATTCAACATTTGACTTAACTTAAAATGAAAAAATTAAAAGCCTATTCTAGAGGTCTTTCTTTCGTACAAATTTCTTCTGTCAATAACAAACAACAACAAAAAGAACGAATGAAAATTCGGTTCAATACAGTGCGACAAGGATCTTTATAAATGTTAGTGACAGTTCAGGGAGGGCGCCACTGTACGTAATAATAATATATCCAAACAGGTTATTTACATTTTGAAAAAAGTTGTTATTTTGTTAGTTGCACTTCTTCAAAGTACTTACCAAAGTCCATTTAAATAAAGATATTTTGAATTTTGATTCTCCTCCAGTTTTTCCCATTCTTTCCTATCTTGAGCTGATTTTGTCCAGTGAATGTTTGCTGTGTGTATAATATCATCACTCCAACGTTAATATGGTCTTCCAATTTTCGTTTTTCTGTATGGTCCTCTCCATTCTGTAATTTTCTTGGTCCACCTTATGTCTGATAGACGAGCAACATGGCCAACCCATTTCCATTTCAGTTTTAACCTATGCAGTTAGGACGTCAATAACCTTAGTTTTATCTCTAATTTTTGTGTGCTTAATCTTATCTTATTTTCTCTTTCTTAGCATGCTTCGTTCCACTGCTCTTTGTGTGAATCTGATCTTGTCTTTTATTTTTTTTGTGTAAGTCCAAGTTTGTGAGCTATATGTCAGGCATGGTAGAAGACAAACAGAAACAATCATGACTATTTTTCTTACTACTAAGCTGTAGTTTCCTTTAAAAAATTCTTTCAAAGACCAGTACTTCTTCCAGGTTATATTAGATCTTCTTGTAACTTCCTCTTTAGTATTGTTTTTGGAAAATAAGACCTGTTTTCCTAAGTTGATGTAGTTATCAATCAATTAATTATGCCCAAGATCGATCTGAATGGCGTGCATTTGGAGACGCCTATATCCAGCAGTGGACTAGGATGGGCTGTTGATGATGATGATGCTCTAGTTATCTACATATTCAATGCTGTTGTTTCTTAAGCGAATGGGTCTTTTCAAACTGTTAGTCATGATTTTGTTTTTTCTGTAATCATTTCTAAACCTACTTTGGAACTCTGTTCATTTAGTAAGTTTAGCATAATTTCTAGTTCTTTGTGAGTCTCAGCAAAGATAACAATGTCGTCCGCAAATCTCAGATGACTTAGACGTTTTTTGTTTACTAGTATTCCCTTCTGACTCCATTTAAGTTTTTTAAATACATTTTCTAGCACAGCTATGAATAGCTTAGGCGATAGTGGGTCACCTTGTCTTACTCCTCTTTCTATTTTAATTTCATCCCTCCTTGTTTTGAGTTTAACTGTGCTAACACAGTTTCGTAGATGTCTCTAAGAATATTTATATATTTCTGATCGATTTTCAGAGAGCTAAGGGCTTTCCGTATACAATTATGGCTGACTGTGTCAAATGCCTTGCTGTAGACTACGAACGCAATATATAGTTTTCTATTGAATTCTTTGTATCTTTCTATTACTTGTTGTACCACATGGATGTGGTAAGTAGTGCTGAAGCCAGATCGGAAACCTGCATGTTCTAATGGTTGTGAGTTATCAATTACTGGAGCTAAACGTCGGAGGAGAACTTCTGTAAAAAGCTTGTATGTACTGTCAAGTAAGCTAATTGGTTTGTAATTGTTTAACTCCATTGGATTCCCTTTTTTTGTAGATTAGTGTTATGTCTGATCTGTTCCACTATTTTGGTACCTTTTCTGTTTCTAACGCCATATTGAATAATCTTGTTAGATGGTGGAGAAGTATAGGATTACCTAGTTTTAGTGATTCATTACTGATTCCGTCCGGACCTGCACTCTTTTAATTTTTTAAGAGCTTAATCTGTTCATATACTTCTTTTTCATCTATTTCCTTAATGTCTCCAGTGTCACATGTGTACTCTATGCTAAATTTATCGTTTTCCTCATAGTGCTTTTGTTTTTTATATAGTTCTTTGTAGAAATTTGTTTTTCTTGTTTTTGTTTCTTCTGATTTGTTATTCAATTTATGAATTCAGGTTTTGTGTGTTTGCAGATCTTTTTGAGCTCTCTTAGTACTTCTAAACTTATTTAGATTATAAGTAATTATGTTTGCCCTGTCTGCAGTAGTCTTTTAAATCGATTTGTATACATCTTTTGAACAATTTGCTCAGTTCACTCTTCATTTATTTGTTTCTTATTCTGCTCGTCGATGTATTAGTGTTTTAGTATATTTGCTAAGTATGTTAGTTTTCTTTTTCACATAGTCTTGTTTTACAGATAGGCTTTTTATGATGGCCATTTCTATCATATTGTAATAGTATTGAACATCTTCTGGTTCAACATTGCTATTATTAACAAACTGACATTTCAGATTTTGGAATTCTTAGGGCAGTTCTGTAATTTCTTCTACTTCTTTTCTGTGTTTTCAAGAGTATTGTTGCTCGAACTAATCTATTATCGGATGCAAAATGTATGTTATTTAAAACTTCCATGTTATTGATCAGCTGTCATTTATTGGACAGGATATAATCAATTTCATTCTTGGTTTTAGAGTTGGGTGTATCCATGTCCACTTGTGTTTCTCTTTTTTGTTAAATAGTGTGTTCATGATTGATAGTTTGAATTCTGATACATATTCTATGAGAATTTTGCCTCTTTCATTCCGTGTTCCATAGCCATATTTACCCATAGTCAGATTTTCCTGCTTTGTTGCTTGTCCAATCTTTGCATTAAAATCTCCTATCACCACAACATGATCCTTTGTTAGTGTGTGTGCTTTCCTAATGTCATTTTAGAAAATGTCTATATCGTCATTACTTGAGTTTTCTGTAGGTGCATGTACTTGTATTATTGAGATCCTGAAAACTGTCTACGTAAATGATATACAAAATATGACGTTTACAAAAACTGCGGCGTTAGTTCAAATTATCTCCAAATTCATAAAGATCCTTGTGGCATTGTAAATACATTTAGGTGATTCCTTTATATGTACTGGGCCTAGTTTTATGTAACAGAAAAATGCAGCTGATGAGAAAGAGCGCATGTCAAAGCGCAAATTGAAGAAACTTTCGCGGTTATCAGTGGCAGAGCTAAAGCAGTTAGTTTCGAGGCCCGACGTAGTGGAAATGTATGACGTGACGGCTCGAGACCCCAAACTTTTGGTGCAGTTGAAGGCTCATAGGAACACTGTGCAAGTGCCACGCCACTGGTGCTACAAGAGGAAGGTGAGTTGGACATATTTACAGTTTCTATACAACGTTTAACAGAAATAACCCAAAACCCCTTAATGTAGTTTGGCTTCAGGATCGATTTCAAGTAAAATAGGATATTAAAAAAAAACGGCCAAGTGCGAGTCGGACTCGCACAAACTAGGGTTCCGTACAAACCTGTAGGTATATTTTAATAATTATTAAAAATATTTTTTATGATATGATGTAACTTAGATCTCTTTTAGAGATAAGCCCACCTTTGATTACTATGTATTTGACTATATGTTTTAACTATATGATGCAATAAAGAGAGTATAATAACTAAAATTTTACGGTTTTCGCAATTTTTCCTTTAGCTGTACTATAAGACGTTAGTTCGTACCAAATTTCAAGATTCTAAGTTCACGAGAAGTACCCTATAGGTTTTGATTCCCGTGCGAGTTTCGGAAATTTGCGGCATAAACGGCTGTATCTTTTGATTGCTTTGGCTTAGAAGTTTGATTTTTTCACAGCTCCAAGAAACAGTAGACCTGAGTATAAGATATAAATTTCAGTTTGATACCTCCACGCGTTCCTGAGACAAACGGTCTTGACAGACGGACGGACAACAAAGTGATCCTATAAGGGTTCCGTTTTTTCGTTTTGAGGTACGGAACTCTAAAAATCGATCAAATAATTGACATCAATTTAATAATTCTTAAAAAATAATCTATTATGATACATACTACAAGGTAACAATAGCTATTATTTAATGCAACTGAATGTAAAATTATTGATATTGTTAAACTAATTAAAATTCTTTAAATTGATTCATTTGCATATTTGCAACAAACTAGTTCAGGGTGTGCGTTATTTCTGTTACACGTTGTATATATATAAAAATATTGAGGTGTCACTATGTTGGTAGGCCTGTTAGACAGAGTTCAAATCCAAATTTAAAGTTTATTTTAAAAAGAGAATAAGGTGCAAAGACTGTCCTCTCACTCTTTTACATTAAACAAGTAAGTGCCTGAGGAATTTAATTGGTTTCCCATACAAAATATATAATTCTCTATTTTACCCCCCTCAAGATGTATTTCTACGACAAAAAACCTGTGACTATCTTCAGTCACATCTATCTTTATACCAAGATTCAGCGTAATCTGTGGTTTAGTCGATAATGCATATTAGCAAACAAACTTACCAATGCAATCATATTATGCATAGTTAGGTTATCACTTTTATCTTCTGCTATAATAAACAGCCAAACTCTCGTACACAGTACTTGCAAGGAAAGCGTGGTATAGAAAAGCCACCCTTCGACCTACCGGACTTCATAAAGAAGACGGGCATTATGGAGATGCGCGCATCGCTGCAAGACAAGGAGGAGACCAAGACTTTAAAGGCGAAGATGCGCGAACGCACCCGGCCCAAACTCGGCAAGATCGACATCGATTATCAGAAGCTCCACGATGCCTTCTTCAAGTGAGTTCGTTTATAGGCTGTTTCCACAGAAGCGGAGCTGCTTTGAGGCTTGAATTGTTACTGAAACTGATTGATTCAATAGTGGCGCCGGCCGCCTGGGCGGTGGGGCAAGTTCATATTCATAAATAGACAGTGTAAAGGCATGAACTGAGTTGAGATTGCAATCACCAAGCGAATTTATTCCAGTTTCGACGTGCGAGAAGCGGAAATGTTTGGTTAGGCAAGCAAGTCAAATGAGCGGACTAACAAACTTTGCTTTACATTTGGCAATTTTTTTTTATATCTAGGGGGGGGACGGGGACAATTAAATATATTCACAGCTCCAATTCACTTCATCGCCATTTCATAGTCCCATTTCGGTTCAACTAATCCAGCTATATAGTTCAACTCTGTACCACTCATCTTTGCGCGACCTCAAAGTAAACACATCTCTTTTCCTTAGCTTAGGTGAACTCCGCGCAACTCCGCTCTGTGGACGCACACATACAGTACGATTCAAACTTAATGGGGGTTGTGAAGTTAGTAGCCAGCGAAAAAATTTTTTTCCGCCTAGCCCGCTGGTTAACTGGTAAAGAAAGCCTTATGGCATTAAGTCCGCCATTTGTGGAATTACAATGAAGAGTAAATAAATAAATAAAGTTCAGTAATATCCCGAGCGCCCCTATATCATTCTACATTTCGTTTACTGCGCCGCGTCTTGCGCTAACTTCACAGCGGCCATTAACTTTGAATTGTACTTTATCTCCGTCCAATATACAGGATGTACAAAACTATGGGGATGTATATCGAATATACAAAGCATTTACATTATAAATTACTACATCTCGCATTTAAACAATAACTTCATTTGATGATAATATTAAAATACCTATTCACTTACATGTCAAATAGTTACAACTGCATTTCATTTAAATGAACATGCAACTGATTTTTTTTTAATAAAAAAAAAAAAATTTTTTTATGACAATGTACCTAATACCCCAGATACAAAATCGTGATCGAAACCTGTCCAAAAGGTATATTGAACGATCCATGGAGCTCAGCCTAGATGATCGCGTAGTCAAAAACAATGTAAGCCATTATTTGAACATTGAAAGTCACCATTAAATACATAACCTTTCGTTGTTTGTACGCCTGTATAAAAGGATGAACAGCTGCTGCTAACATAACATACACACACTATCTTTTCAGAATAAACCAATTTGTTTAAAACAAAAATGATTGAGGTCCACTTGCAGCAATTTTGCTAAATCTCAATTTAACTAATACTAGATTAAGCCCATAGTATAATGTCAAATTGACATTGTCATTTTGTCATTTTTCTTTGGGTTAGTGGTTGGCTTTGTGGTTTGAGATGAATCGTGATTTAGCGGAATTGCTGCAAGTGGGCCTTAGTTATTTATACCAAATATAAAATTTTATATATACATTCACAATTTATTACCAAATGTGATCATAAAAGGGTTACTAATATAATAAAAACCCACAATTTGATCAGTTTGGGACCAGTTTAAAATCTGGAAACCTTTATTTCCTAGTTTCTCGAAGACAGGTTGATTTATTTCATTTAGACAACTTTATGCTGAAGTAAGGTAAGACAATATTTATTGTTAACTTTAAGTTTATTTTTATTGAATGTGAGAAAGTAGTTTTGTTTAATACGCAACGTATACATATATGTAGGAAAGATTTTTTTACTAGAAAAAATTCCACCCGTACCAAGCAGCAAACGGAACTCTAACCCGGGCGGATACACTGATCGTTATGTTACCGCGGCCCTTATGTCCGGTTCGAAATTTCTTTTGTATTTTTGAGGCTGCAAGACAACATCTAGCAGTTAAATGCTTAAAAAATATAAAATATATATTTTATTTCACGCCGTGATTGGAAGAGTTTCAAAGAAGCAGCTTGTGAGTAAAAAGTGTTTACTTGATGTTTAAGTAAACACACTTACACACTTTTAGCTCTTGCCACGTTTAACCAGAAACAATAATGACAGTTGGTTTGTTAACCCTTCGCCTACAGTGATTTACATATAGCATAGGCATAGATTGTCACTATCTGTTCTAAAAAGAAGAAGCTGGCGCAATACGGTATTTGACAGTATTAAATATAAAGTGACAATTGTTAGAATCTGTGTTTAAATGAATATTGGCAGGGATTTTCACTATTTTTGCAGAAAAAATAATCATGATTTTACTAAAAACCCACGAAAAAGATAATAGTTTTCTTATCTATTGTAACGTGACCCAAAACGCTTGGGATTGACGGAGCCTAAAATGACGTCACACGCAAGTAAACTTCCGGTTAAAGTGACATTACATTGTATAGTTTGACGTTATAATAACAGTCGTGTGACGTCACACACCAGTGAGACGCCATATTGTCCAGAGAAACGTTTTCGAGGCAACTTTAAACTGGAGTTTTTGATTTGGTTATTTTAACTGAAATACACAACAGAATGATGAATATCCACTTTTTACGGACTCCATAAACGTTAGTATATGACGTGAGATCGTTTTCTAAAACTTGTCAAATACCCTATTTGGTCCTTCACACCCAGTCTAGTATGGAAGATAATTGTAGACATATTTATATTTTACCAAAGACATTGGTAGTTTGTCGTTGTAACTGTGATTAGAACATTGGAAAAAATAATGCTGACATAATTTGTTTCCAGGTTGTTTTTTCGAACATAAAAAGACTTTAGGTATCCATGAGTAATTTACGCTCAATGATGCCGGCACTTCACTTGGCTATTCGTTGTTGCTGTTTGTGAACTTATCATTAATCTGTCTCTTGCATTCCTTATAAAGCGTGATAAGGACAGACTTATCTTTATACCTTAGGAGGCGGGTCATTACATTTCCTAAAATATGGTTGATCGAAGCGATAGCTGGTTCATGCGTCATGCTCGTGAACGGGTGCTGCCAGCGGAGATGAGTCTGCCCTAACTTCCTTGATATTGAAGGTGTTAATGTCTAGTTACACCTAATATAAAGAACACTATTTGTATTTGTACTGTATGGCACAGCAATCAAAATGCAGGTGAACAATTAATGTATATTAGATCATTATGTAATGAAAGGTGACTTCGTGAATTATCTCAGAAGTATTTTTTTCAAATTGACGATTCTGTAAATTATAAACAGGAAAAAAAAAGCCCTTGCTGAGTTTCTTACCGGTTCTTCTCAGTACAAAGTCTCCCGCCTTAGATTTAAGAACCGCTTCTAGACATTCGAGTGCTTGTAATGATTTCGATTATGATTGATATCTGTTGTCAAGTTTACAAACAGCAAATATGTATAGCCAAGCGAAGTGCCGGAATGAAGGCGTTATCAATTACAAAATGAAGTATCTAGTACCAATTGAATAATGACAGGTGGCAAACGAAACCGCGCATGACTATCCACGGCGACCTCTACTACGAGGGCAAGGAGTTCGAGACCCGGCTGCGAGAGAAGAAGCCCGGGGACCTCTCCGAGGAACTGCGGACCGCACTCGGAATGCCCGTTGGACCTGGTTCCCACAAGGTAATGACCACAATCATTAAATAATGCTAAGCAAAGGTCTAGCTAGCGTATCGTAATTTTTTGATGACTTCATAAGTTTAGAATCTGTCGTCCAGTTCCCGTCGCGTGAGTACCTTTATATACATTATAGCACGTTTTAATCGCGTCTAACTGCCAAACTCCATTGTCAATTGACAACTGTCTCCGTAGCATGACTATCACAATTTACATTGTGTCACGTTTTTTATCGCGTCTCACTTTCAAATTCCATAGTTATTTGACAATTCAGCGTGATAAAAACGCGTTAATATCATATCGCGGTGCTCATGCTAAGGGAGCTGACCGTCATAAAAAAAAGGAGTAAATATCATATCGCGGTGTTGACGCTCGCGCTAGGGGCAGCGTCCTAAATGTCACACTTTTTCCGCAAATTCCTTCAAAAGCGAGTGGCATTATGCGCTAATCTCTTTCTTAGTCATGAAATGAAAGGGGGTATCCCTTTCATTTCCTTTCGAAAGAGTAATAACTAAGCAATTAGAACCACTAAAGTGAAGCTAGCACACACTGAGTTTGGAGGTCTGAATTCTATTCCCTTAAGACCCCTTTATTAATAGGCGTTTTAGTTGCGCATAGGTTAAGCGCAACTTATTCGCGAAGTCATAGCCAGGCTTCGGTCGTGCTGCAAAGTAGCTCTTGATTTAAGTGGCTGGCTTGCTTCATTCCTGTTATTTCTAAAATTAATACAAAAGAAAATACATTTACTTCTGTCTCTCTTTGTACAGTATGAATCATGTTGATTACGCAGGTAATGATGTAATCGTGCTACTCGAATATGTATAGATAACCAGTCGAGCTACTTTAGCCACGTGTAGTTACGTGACTAAAATGCCTATATGTAAAAACGCCCTTACTCTTGTATAATAATAATAATTCTTTATTTCTCACCATAATCAGTTTCTTATGCTATTCAAAACACTAAGTAAAAAGGTCACTTAACTAATAGGCATGATGACGGGGTAAAGTGAACGAAATTCTATTTAGTCCGTCAGTTAGATGATCAAAAAATAATGGACCCGTATTTTTTCTTTGGGCAATCAAACAAAAAATGACAAAGATAAAGCGCGTCAAAGTTCGGGAGTAGGGGCTCGTGACGTCACTTTTAAGTGAAAATTGTACCAAAACGTGACGTCATGCGACTTTATATATATCTGCAATGTTTATATTATGTGAAAAAAGAAAAAATACGCGTCCAATACTTTTTGATAATCTACCTAACGAAGACAAAAAAAAATAGTTATCATCCCTATTATGGCGGGCTGACACCTAAACAAGGAAAACACCCGTGTATCAGGTTATCAGCCCTCCACGTCTTTGAATGTTTTATAAAACAACACAGTTTACTGTAATTTAAACATATTCATGTATATTATTTACTAAAAAATAAATTTATTTGACAATTATAATATTGGAATTTGAGGGTAGGTAGTGTGAATATGAGTATAGTTTTGGCATCCGTCTACTCTCTCGTCTATCGTGGGTAATAATAGGTAATAAGTAGGTATAGGGAATGCCTGTATTTATGCTGTGTCTGTATTTTGATAGTTAAACTAAAAATATGTGGCCGCTACAAACTATAATAAATCTTTGCTTTTTCTCTGTCTTAGGTGCCCCCACCATGGTTGATCGCTCAACAGCGATACGGGCCTCCACCTTCATACCCCAATCTAAAGATTCCCGGGTTGAACGCACCCATTCCCGACGGCTGCGCGTTCGGATACCACGCTGGAGGGTGGGGAAAACCGCCCGTAGACGAGACGGGGAAACCTTTATATGGCGATGTTTTCGGACACCAGAACAGTGGCCAAGATGTGAGTAGTCAATAGATATTACTTTATAGTTCCCTAACTTGAAGATCTGTAGAGTGAGCGCGTCCATTCTCGATGGGTGCACGTTTGGATACCACGCCGAAGGGTGGGACAAACCGCCCGTAGACGAGACGGGGAAACCTTTTTATGGCTATGTGTTGACACCAGAACAGTAAACAACATGTGAGTTGACAATAGATACTACATTATAAACTGAATGTGAGGCAAATCGCCCGTAGATGATACGGGGAAATCTTTATACGGAGATGTGTTCGGTCACCAGAACAGTGGACAGGATGTGTGTGTGTGTGAAACTGACAGACATTACATAATAGTAACGTATTCAGACACCAGAACAGCAGAAAGGATGTAAGTAGACAATCAACACTACATTATAGGTCCATAACATGAAGAAGATCTATAGACCGAACGCTCCTACTGCTAAGGCACAGGCCTTCCCCATTGATTGAATACGAGAATAGGCGCTATGACCCACCGTGGGGCAAGGTGACTGCAAATGCAGCGGGACCAGCGGCTTGGAGTTTTGGATAATATATTTTTGGTCATCATCATATAACCGGCCGTTGCGAAAGTTGCTTGCCTTCCACAATCCTGATAATTAAGTATACTATTTTGAAGTTTCCCGGTTATACAACAGTTCTGAAATATAATAAGAATCTTTTTGAGAACTAATCAGTTATTTTGTTATTCCGTAGGATAATGAAGACCAAGATATCGATAGGACAATGTGGGGAGAGCTGGAGTCTGAATCTGAAGAGGAGTCGGAAGAGGGTAAGTAAATCTGTAGAATTTTCGTTAGTTTTCGAATTTTCCTGAAATCCTTGACAAGTTACTTTATGTATTTGATGGTGCATTGTTGTAATCAGAGCTTTGTATAGTATTGTCTGCTGACTGATTTTAAATCAGGTGTCGAAAACGGCTAAGTACAGCTTTTAAAAGTTGTCTGTGAAAGTTTTGTAGTATTGTGTAGGAAGGCCAAAGGGGAAGATCTTGCCTCGAGCTGGGTGATGGTAGCTCGGGGGCCGCGGCCTAACCGATGTGCGTTGGGCATTGTATATATGAAGTGTAAGCCTTAATTTCTCTAGCGCGATGTAGGCTTCCGGTAGAGCCATCTGTTGATATGGAGTGTCAAATCTTGCTTCGTTAATGATATGGCGGGCGTGTGGATGTCGCGTCGCCGACACAATATTTAAGTTGAAAAGTGGCTATCGACTACATTTTGTAATTTGCATGCTACAATAACAAAAAAACTCGTGCTCTTTTATTATACTGTACAACTCCTCTATGCTACGTTTTTAAGCAAATAATGATATTATATAAATTTGTTAAAAACAGAGGAATCTGGTGACGAAGGCGAGAAGCCAGGCGAAGGTGATCTAGCGGCAGGCGTGGTGACTCCAGGCGAAGGTCTGGTGACTCCGCTGGGCATCAGCTCAGTCCCGCCCGGTATGGAGACCCCCGACACCATAGAGCTGAGGAAGAAGAAGCAGGACACAGACCTGGAGGGGTGAGTGTACAGACAGACCGTATGAGCCCCTACTGTGACAGGGAGCTGGGGATGAGGGCCAGGGGCTGGGGACTTCGCTGGGCATTGGCACAATTCCCCGACCCGACATGAAGACCCCCGACATCATCATGCTGAGGAAGAAGAAGCAGGACCCACCTGGAGGGGGAGGGGGGTTGTAAACTAAACGCAACATTGATGCTGTTTTTTCACCTTGGATATTAAGTCCCGTATTACAGAATGACAACTAAGTGTTGATCTTTACTTGAGTCCAGTTAGAAAGGGATGTTGCTATGTGCTATATATAGCGACATACCTTTCTAACTATGCTCAAGACTAGATCAATCACTGAGATTCTTTCTATAATACGGGCCTAAGAATCCTCGCATTATTCTAATAAAAAGTATTATTAGATATTTTTGAAACATAATATGAAAACTTCTGAATAGGGTATTTGACAAGTCTTAGAAAACGATCTCACGTTATTGACTAATGTTTATAGAGTCCGTAAAAAGTCATTCTGTTGTGTATTTCAGTAAAAATAACCAAATCAAAAACTCCATTTTCAAGTTGCCGCGAAAACGTTTCTCTGGACAATATGGCGTCTTACTATGTGTGTGACGTCACACGACTGTTATTAAAACGTCAAACGATACAATATAATGTCACTTTAACCACCAATATAATGTGACGTCATTTTAGGCTCCACCAATCCCTAGCGTTTTGGGTCACGTGACAATAGATAAGATAAACTATTATCTTTTTCGTGGGTTTTTAGTAAATTAACACTGTCAAATACCCTATTAGTGAAGTTTATAAATTTTCATATTATTCGTTTATAATTTTATTTTATTAGTTCAATATGAAGCACTAGTCTAAGGAAATAACCTCCACCTTACAGAAGACCATATTTAAATAATACTACCTTTTGGTGGTGTTGTGTTTTTGACGGTGAGCAAGAGTTTGTGTGCTTGACAAAGAAATACAGTTGTCTTCGTTAAGTAAATAGTTATTTTTATTATTATTTATTAGTTATATTTGTACCTAATCCGTTGTTAATATAATTTGTTTGTCCTTAGCGGCGACACTCCCGCCCTCTACCAAGTATTGCCGGAACGCCGCGTGGGGCTGACGGCCGGCATGATGGCCTCCACGCACGTGTACGATATAAACGCGGCCAATCCAGGTCAGTACTGCGCTATACAAATTTATAAAAGTCTAGTAGGTGCCCTCAACTTCGCTTGTGCGGAAAAATTGTTTTCCCATACAAAATTCCATTTAAATTTTGACCTGATGCATGATTTCTGGGATAAAAACTTTACTATGTTCTTCCCTGGGACTCAAACTGTTTCTGTACCATTTTTCATTTAAATCGATTTAGCGTTAAGAGGTAATAAAGAGACCCACTTTCGCATTAATAATATGTATAGGTATGGATGCCGCCTGCGACGCCCAAAGAAATCTTACATTTTTCGAGGATAAAAAGGATATTGAAATTACTGTTAACATGACCCCCTACTACATTGTATCTGTATCTTACTAAATATTTTATTTAACATAGAAATCCTATACGATAAACGTCGTGCTTGTGGACGGGTGAAGTCAGTAGACAAGTCTGCTTTAGGTTGCAATATTTATCTTATCAACTATTTAACAGCTTCCAACCGCAATTTCGTCTGCGTTCTAATTAGTTTTCTTGAGAGTTCCACAGGAAGGTAACTCGTGTTTGAATTGTTGACGTAGGCAAGCGTGCAGTGGGCGGGGCGACGAGCGAGCCGGGCGCAGCAGGGCCAGGGGCGGGCCCGGGCGCCGTGGACGTGGCCCTGGACCCCTCGGAGCTGGAGCTGGAGCCCGAGGCCGTGGCGGCGCGTTACGAGCGGCACCTGCGAGAGCACCGCCCAAAGGCCAGGGAGGACCTGTCCGATATGTTGGCTGACCATGTCGCCAGGCAAAAGGTGATTATAGCTTAATTTCGTTAACATTGACTATAATTTATGTTTTCTTTGGCTGTGTCTAACATAATGGTAATTTGTTGTTGTTTATGCAATACATAATATAAGTGCAATGGTATAAAAATGCAAAATAACGAAGTAATGACGAATTTGTTTCTTTGTTTACAGAACAAGAGAAAGCGACAACAGAATACAGATTCCAAACAAGCAAAGAAATACAAGGAATTCAAATTTTAAAAGTGATAATTTTAATAGTTTATTAAATATAGTATTAAGTAATCTCTTATGTTATTATTAATTCCTTGCCTTCCTATTGGTAAATCAACAGTGCGAAACCTAAATAAAATTTAATTAGTGTGATGTTTTTTTCTCATTAATTTTTAATTAATTTATTGTTGTTGATATATTTTGTGGCAACCTTAGGAAATTAAAAGTATGCAATACTATCACGATCATAAATTTAAATCTATGGTCACCACTGGTCACATTTTTTCACAGAGCAATATAACTCTATTGGCTATTGTAACAGCAGCCATATTCTGAACGAGCCACGCGTAAAGAACCGACAGACTGCCGAGTGTACCTTGCGGGGTATTTCCCATCTGTTTTACTGATTGTTCCTCCAATTAAACATTATAGACGTTGCTGTTAATCTACAATGTATGATGCATTCCAGATGCAGCACATGGATAATTTTATAAAAAGCATAAAATTCAGCTGGCAACCTTGCTCTATTGTGATAAATACTGAGAGACAGAAAGTCTTAAGTTACTTCTATGATAAATAAAAGAGTTTTAACTACTAAGTGAGGCCCCACACCGGAGCCACAGTGTACATGCACGCAACATTTACCTTGCAACAATTTCCACTCTACATTTTTGTTTTCTTCTTGCTACTATTTGCACCCGCCTACAAATGTGTCCTTGCTTACGGTTCTTTTGTATTAAAATATGATTTAAATGTAAACTTTAATTTCACGCGAGTTAAACTTTAAAAGTTACAATTCAGGACCTTACTCTACAGTGGCACCATCTGGTGAGACAAAAAGCGGTAGCCCTTATTCTCGTAATACAATTGTATAGTGCGATTCAAATAAGAATAGGAAAGCCAATGTCCTCCATCTGTCAAATGTCGCTTGAAAAGTACGGTTTGCAAAAAAATTTTGGAACACTTTTTCAACACTTGGCTAATTCTAGAATAAAAACCACACATTTGTAAACAAACAATAACAAATATTGATAATTAATATTGGTGGATATTTTTTTTCATTTAATGAGCTATGGCTATGAATGGTTGATAACCTAAACCGTCAACCAAATGTCACTTTAAGTTGCATCCATTTAAAACTTTCGTTTACATAAAGGATGCATGTTCGTATGTGACCTAGTAATAGTGCATGATTATTCATAATCATAACTACTCCGGAGGTAAGGCAGAGATGAGCGGAATTGAAGAGCTAGATTCTGATTAATGTTTTTTCTCGCAGTCTTAATAAATAAATATTATTAAAATCGGTTGTTTTTTTTCTCAATCTTAGTAAATAAATTATATTAATAAAATCTGATGTTTTTTCTCACTTAATAATTAGTTAGAAATTTTATTAAATAAAATCTTTTTTTTTTGCTCACTTTACCTATTTGGTTCGAATTGACCGCTATGACATCACAATATGGCGCCTAGTCGATCCTATTCTTAGTTGAATCGCATTATATGTCTTGTGTGCGGCCCGCTTTACACGCATATGTAATTGGGCGTTATATGTGTCGCGTTTCAAATGTCGCCACAGTTATCATAATACAATTGTATATATTATGGTGTGCGGCCCGCTTTAAAGTGTTGTGTACCATACTCCTCATAGAGCTAGTTTTTCTTTAATTTAACTTTAGTAGGGTAAGTATCTTTTGGGATTGGTAACACTGCCACTGTAGGGATGCCCACTACTTATGCTTTTAATCGATCTTTTGGAACGTAACAATGTGAATTGATCTACGATATAAATTGAATGGCATTGTATCGATTTTGTTAAATTTCCTACGATTATTCCGGTTATTTGTTTGGATCTGGAAATCTTATCATGATAACTAGAAAAAACAATATGAATTCATTGTTTGCTAAACTATAAATTAGAAATAAAATCATAAGTCTTAAAACAGTTTCAAAGGTCGTTCATGTTTTCAATTGACATCCTCACACAAATTCTATTTTTGTGACACCAAAATTTGCATATTTGAATAATTTAATAAATAATTAATGAATGGAATCAACAATCGATGAATAGAATCGGTGTTGTGAATCAATAACCTAAAACACCGATTAATTCGGGCATCTCCAAGGAAAATCTCATAGTAAGTCAATCGCTCGCTGTCACTTTTTTTAAATTGCATTGGACTTCGAACTCGTAGAAGTATTTTGTTTTTATCAATTTTATTATAATATAAGTGTAATAATCAGTTAAATTAAGTGCAAATATGTCTCGAGTTTTAGTTGGAGTTAAGCGAGTTATCGACTATGCTGTTAAAGTAAGTTTTGTAGAATGTAATATCCGCCAATTTTGAAGGTTTGCCAAGTCCTCCAAAGGTGAAACAGTAGATATGTAATTTACTGATTAGGGAAATAATAAATATTAGGGAACGTAAAGTTTTATTTAATAGTTTAAAATGATATTTTTTGAATAACTATAATAGGTTGAATCAAAATTTTAACATGAAAAGTTTTTATAAACTTTTAATATTAATATAAGGTTATAAAACTTTTAGATTCGCGTGAAACCAGACAAATCTGGTGTGGTTACCGATGGCGTGAAACACTCTATGAACCCTTTTGATGAGATAGCGGTAGAGGAGGCTGTGAGAATGAAGGAGAAGAAATTGGCCAGTGAAGTGATTGCGGTGTCTTGTGGCCCTGCACAGGCACAGGTATGTATCATTATTTGTTTGAATTATTATAATTTAAGTTCATAATTTAAAAAAAGAATACCTCATTATGACTACTGCTTACTGCAATGATAGCACTCCTGCCCTCAGATGTTTTCTGGGTTTGAATCCCTCTATATTGTTTAATACCATGTTTAAATTATCAAATTGTCCTATAATAGGACATGCAAAATCCATAGGATTATTATGAAAATTCCGTTTATCAAATTATCCTATGACATAAATGTAATATATATACAGGGTGTCCCGTAAGTAATGGTCCAACCGTAAACCCTAGGTAGTTCACTCAATTGCCTACAACTAATTTGAACCGTTTTTTGAAATTCATTAGGGTTGCCAAAAAAAATGATAAAAGGTTTTTTTTCAATATTTCTGTCTTGAATTGGTTTTTTTAATAGCATTGATGCAAATATTAAAAATTTTCAAACTTTTTTTCACTAATATGTAGCTAGATAGATTGCCTATCAACTTGTTTATCACATTTGCATAATGACATTGTATTTCTCTCAAAAATATTGAAGTAACTTAACATTTTATTGCATTTTATTTGGATGACCTAAATTGAAAAGCTCCTAATGTAAAAAAAAAGTATGACACCAAAGTGTTCCATTATTTTAAAAACATGTGCATTAAGTAAGGTTTCAAAATTGGTATAAAACTTATGGTTAACTAGTAAAGTTGCAAACATAATACAATGAATCCGAAGAAGAGGCGAATATCTAAAAAAAACTAAATTAATTAAATTAGTATTTAGTTGTGTTATTTCACATTATTAGGAATGTCTTTACGTTAATCAACATGATGATTATACTGATATTAGCTTTTATGGCACTTATTTGTGTAAACGACGGGTAAAATAAGGTCTTTAGAAATAAAAGCAAAAAACCGTTATAATTTTATAATAAATGCTCAAATTGCCTTCCGCCTACAGCTATGCACATTCTGCTCCTCCTTGTACACGTTGTAGATGGTACGGGTGCAAACGGTATCTTTTTAAAACCCGGTGCACCGATGCTCTAGGTATTCCAGAACGTCGTGCTATAGTTCGAACTGACGTTGATGCATCTTCTTGTACTTGTTGCAAAATTATTTCGTCATTGACTTGCTGTGGTCTTCCTTCACCGACACCAACTCCAGTACCAAGAATCCTTCCATCAAGTAGCGAGTTATGCACTCTAAGCAAAAATTCGGTGGTCAGGGTGACGCAAATTCGGGTACCTTTCTCGGTACAATCTTGCAGCTTCTCTGGCATTACCTCTTGCTTCTCCATAGGTGTAATGCATCATAGCATATTCACGAGGTGTGTACACGTTGCGAGGCATTGCAAAGTTCAGAGATTCAACAACCCCAAACAAACAGATTTTCGGAGTCCAATAGACTCGCCAAGTCGTTAACTCTATAAAAAACAAACAGTCCAAATTCGATAGGTAATTCGTAAAGTCCAAATTCACACCAGTCTCGGCGGCGCGCGACGTGGCACTGCGTAGATTTGTCTTGCCAAGATTGGTTAGCGGCCGTGTAAATGACATTATTTGTCTGTGTGCGTGCGTCGATTCGAGGGCTAGTATGATCAAAGTACTAATCTTGTGTACTGTGCGCGTAGTGTCGTTAAAACATTCCTAATAATGAAAAAATGCACAACTAGACACTAATTAAATTTAATTATATTTTTTAAGATATTTGCCTCTTCTTCGGATTCATTGTATTATGTTTGCAACTTTACTAGTTAACCATAAGTTTTATACCAATTTTGAAACCTTACTTAATGCACATGTTTTTAAAATAATGGAACACTTTGGTGTCATACTTTTTTTTACATTAGGAGCTTTTCAATTTAGGTCATCCAAATAAAATACAATAAAATGTTAAGTTACTTCAATATTTTTGAGAGATATACAATGTCATTATGCAAATGTGATAAACGAGTTGATAGTCAATCTATCTAGCTACATTTTAGCGAAAAAAAATTTGAAAATTTTTAATATTTGCGTCAATGCCGTTAGAAAAACCAATTCAAGACAGAAATATTGAAAAAAAAACATTTTATCATTTTTTTTGGCAACCCTAATGAATTTCAAAAAACGGTTCAAATTAGTTGTAGGCAATCAAGTGAACTACCTAGGGTTTACGGTTGGACCATTACTTACGGGACACCCTGTATATATATATATATATATACATATACATTATTTAGTTTAATACAAGGTTTGCTTCAAATAAAACTAAACAATAGTTAAGTTCTCAATGTTTTTTGTAATTTTTAAAATAAAAAATAAAATTAAAGAGATAAAACTGTTTCAAAAGTTATTATCTTATAATAGATAAATACATATTTACATTTTATTTTCAGGAAACACTTAGGACTGCTTTGGCTATGGGAGCTGATAGGGCTATCCATGTTGAGGTGGCAGGTGCAGAGTATGAGACTTTGCAGCCCTTGCATGTTGCTAAAATATTGGCAAAACTCACCAAAGATGAAAAAGCTGATATTGTCATTGTTGGAAAACAGGTACATATTGTGTTTTTAACATTAATTCAAGTACGAATATGTGGATCATGATGATTGAGAGTTTATTCTTTGATAAAATTTTGAAACATACTTTGAAATTGATTGATATTGAGGCATTGAACTACTGGATTTATATATTTTGTTATTTTTACTAGTAAAATTGTCATTACATACATACCTACTTTGAAAGTTTCAAAAGATACACAGGCTTAGTTACATTGTCTTAGGTCTTGCTGATAACATAAGTATATATGTAGTATAACCAATGTTGTGTGAAAACTTGTAAATAGTCATTTTTTAATTTAGATCAAGAGATTTCTGAAAGTTTTCCAAAATGCTGAGTAATTAAGGTTACCTTTATTATATCTCTATATAAGCATTTAACTAGATATTTATTTTTCATCCCCGTTTTAGGCGATTGATGATGATTCCAACCAGACTGCTCAGATGACTGCTGCCATGTTAGACTGGCCACAGGGTGTATTTGCATCAAAGGTACCAATTTTACATAGTAATTTTGATATTGGTCAATGATAATTTTTGACCTTTTTAAGTTTATTATCTTATCAGTGAAATGACGAAAACAATCTTTATAGCACAGTGTGACCTAAACCCGCACTTTACGCACGCTTTTCCGTGACCTAAGTTGCCTATTTCTGCACGGTGTGTAAATGAATTGACCAACTTCACTCATGTAGAAAAAATAAAAGGAAACATTTAAATGTCATTTGGAGCTTAAAAACTCACAGCAAACAAATGACAAATTAGCGATGGGTTAGGTTATTTTGTTGTAATGATATTTGATTTTTTCCTTTTGAAATATACTTTCAAAATGGTAATCTGAACCGGAATTCTTTCTTTGTGATTGCAATACATGAATTTTACTTTCAAAACACTAATCGCATACCTCGCAACCCCCCCTCTTGCCCGCGTCCGGGGTGGGTTTATGTCACACTTGCTATAAAATAGTATATGATACTTGTGGTCTAAGTTGTCTATTACTTCACGCTGTGCAGTAATAGGCAACTTAGGTCACGCGTATCGTAATGTACTATTTGTTAATTTAAACTAAAATAGGATAAACTATGCATTCATTTGTTATGCTATTGATTGATTGAAAAATACTAAAACACATAATCATAAAATTATGAAACAGCATTAATTTAGCATTTATTAAAAAGGCCCTCAGGAACCTTACATTTTTCCAGGATAAAAAAGTATCCTAATTCAGGCCATAAACTATATGTATACCAAAGGACATTGAGCAAACATGTTTGGACGATGCACCCACGTCTGCCACAGCTTAAACTACATTTGTTTGAAAGGTATTATAGTCATGATGATCTGTGCCAAAGCGCATCAAATTACATCCTGAGGGTCCTTAGTAATTTGAAGTTAAATCAATACAAGTTAATTTTAATTTTGATGTTGTAAAATGACATATTTTTGGTACAAATTTTGTAAACATTTATAGGTAGAGAAAAGCGACAGTGGTCTGACGGTGACGCGCGAGATCGACGGAGGTCTGGAGGTGGTGAAGACCAAGTTACCGGCCGTGCTCAGCGCCGACCTACGTCTCAACGAGCCCAGATACGCCACCTTACCAAACATCATGGTATGGTTTCATCACTGAAATATTGACATTTATGGCGAGGTCGACTTACGTCTGGAGGTGGTGAAGATCAAGTTACCTGCCGTCCACAGCGCCTTCCTACGTCTCAACGAGCCCAGATACGCCACGCTACCTAATATCATGGTATGGGTTTCATTACTGGAATATTGTCATTTATGTCGAGACCGACTGAGGTCTATAGGTTAAGACCAAGTTACCGGCCGTGCTCAGCGCCGACCTAAGTCTCAACGAGCCCCGATACGCCACGCTACCCAACATCATGGTATGGTTTCATTACTGAAATATTGACATTTACGTCGAGATCGACGGAGGTCTGGAGGTGGTGAAGACTAAGTTACCGGCCGTCCTCAGCGTTGACCTACGTCTCAACGAGCCCAGATACGCCACGCTATATAACATCATGGTATGGTTTCATTACTGAAATATTGCTAATTATGTCGAGATTGACTTAGGTCTGGAGGTTGTGAAAACCAAGTTACCAGCCATGCACATCAAAAATATCATGGTATGGTTTGATTACTAAAATATTGACATTTATGTTAATTATACAATCACTAGCAAACCAGTGAAAAAAAAAAGTATTTAATTAATTGAGAACTTCGGAGATTTTGTGTGGTTTCGTTTGAAATAGAAATCACGTGATTTCTCGAAAACCGGAAGTGCTACGTTACTCACATCCGGTTTGTAGTCTTATCAGACTATTCTTAACTTATAACTTAAACATTCTCTATATCTATCTCTTACGGTTTGGCCGCTGAAACAGCACCACGGACGGACGGACGGACTTGTCTATTAGATAAGAGATTAGTGGGTGCCTGAGACTTCGTTTGCATGAAAAAATTTATGTTCTATACAAACTTCCACCCATCTTTTTAAGCCCTTAAAGAGTGATTTCTACGAAAAAAAAACCTGTGTCCTTTCCCAGGACTCGAACTATTTTGATACCAAATATCATGTTAATCGGTCAGCAGTTAAAGCGTGTCGAGGTACACTTACGCATTTATAATATTAAGTATGGATCACATTGTCTCGCCTTGTTAGGTTTTATAGAGGAAAAAGTCATTAAACGCGTTATTTGACAATGTGCATTTTATTTTTTCAGAAAGCCAAGAAGAAGCCTCTAAAAAAAATCTCAGCCAAAGACCTCGGTGTGGACTTATCGCCCAGAATCAAAGTGGTGTCAGTAGAAGACCCGCCAGTACGTCAAGCGGGCTCTGTAGTTCCAGATGTCGATACTCTTGTAGCTAAACTTAAAGAAGGCGGCCATGTTTGATTGAGCCGAACGGCAGATTTCTGCTGTCACGCAATGTAAAAAGATTCTGTTGTATAGCATGTTGTTTAAGGAGAAGTGTGTGAATATAGTAGTAAAATTTGTTTCAATTATACACCATACATATTTTCATAGTTGTTTTTCTATTATTTTACCTTATCATCATAAATAATATGTGCCAATTTTCATCCAAATTGGCACAAAAATTGGAAACAAAACTTTCGCAACTATAATAGTACACAAGGAGGATTACAAAGGTGTTTAAATAAAAAGAAAAAACTAACAATTTTTATCGTGATAGTAATTCAAAAAGTGACAAAGCAATAGGCGACAAGTCTTAGAAGAAGAGTTTTAGATTATAAATTTGCTAATTTCGTTTAAAAGGTATATGGCTGCCCCTAGCGGCCATTTTTTTATGTCTGTAAAAGGCACGACTCCTTTCTCACCACCTAAGGTTGCAACGAGGATATGTAAGGACTCCTTCCCTGCTTATTTCGACCAGCTCAAGAAACGAGTAGTGCCCTACCTACTAAAAACGCACAGACACTAATCGCGGTTACCCGGAGGGAAGGCAGGGCTCTCTCCGCCGCTCTCCTGTCCCTTTACCCTGAAAAGAACCGTTTAGGCGCCGGTCTAGCAGTGACCCTGGCCACTGTTGGTAGACCATTTTCCCACAATGCATATTAAAATCCAGGGCCCCTCTGGCTATTTGCGACGATGACTTACGAGTATTATTATTGCAAATTTACAACGAAACCACAGATTTACGCTATTATATGTCGCCACAAGGAAAAATTTACAGAGTTTTAAGTATTTTGTATACTTGCAGAACATGGGCACACTACGTTGCGATTGCCGCCATATCACCCGGATTTCAATCCTATTGAAAATATATGGTCTCAATTAAAAGGCTATGTAGCCGCTAGAAATGTGGATATGAATCTGAATTCGGTGAAAAATTAATTGACTGAAAAAGTAAACATGATTGGAACTGAGGAGTGGAAAAATGTTTGTGAACACGCAATAAAATATGAAAATGAAATAATGAATGAATAGGCTGGTGATAAATACGGGTGATAGTGACAGCGATGACGACGTTGAGAGCTGACATAGTGATATGGAAGGAATTTAGAATCTGATTAGTAAAATGACACGGAGAGGTTTCGCCTAATTAGTTTTTTGTATTTTGTTATTTGGTTGGAAATAAAGATTATAGTTTTTGATTAAAATAAATAAATTAACATACATAGTACGTATATGTTGTCTTTTACCTAATTCTTTTCTTTTTGTATTGTTTTGTAAAAAAAATATTTAGCAGCTCTTAATAGATACGGGACTGTTAGTGTTTCGTGTGACAGAGATGACGCTTTACATAGCCGAAGGTAACCGAGTATCTCTTTCTTAAGCACGATGCGACTTATCAGGCCATTTATAAGTCGCATCATACTGCAACTTGGTAGGTAGATAATGTAGACGGAGCGTCAGTTGATCGAATACGCCTACCACTCCACTACCTCATCAAACGCTAGGAGCACGCATTTTGAAACCCAAAATGGAACGATCGATTACGTCATCGAGCGCCGGGAGCAGAGACGCGTTCTAACAAAAATAAAACAAAAGACGATCGATTAAGTTATCGAGCGCTGGGAGCAGAGACGCGTTCAAACAAAAATAAAACAAAAGACGATCGATTACGTCATCCGACCGCTGGGAGCAGAGACGCATTTAAACGCAAAATAAAACAAAAGACGAACGATCGCAGTGAGGATTTATTAAGTAGCTAGAAGGCAATGAAGACGCGCGTCAGTAGAGCGCCTCGCCGCTGTACGGTTCGTACCAGACGATCTTGCCGTCGAGGCAGCCGGTCACCAGCATGTGGTAGCGCGGGTTGAACCGCGAGCTGACGACCAGGTCCTGGTGTACGCCCACACTCTGGCCTATGTCCGCGAGAGGGCGCGCCTGTTTCAGTTCACCGGCCGTTTGAGAGAGCTCGCTGCAATCTTCGTTTAGAGCGAGCAATCGCATCCCGCGGCCGAACGGCGAGCAAACTAAACGCCCGTCCGCTGAGTAGCATAGTTCCTGTTGATAAATTTTGGAATATGCAGAATTTTAAATTTGTCTATTACTAGTCATAGAACAACATAGGCGCGGCCAGAAGGGGAGTACCATATAAATAGAGAACTGACTGAGCGTTCCCTGTCCAACTAAGTAAAACGAAAGCGTGAGACAGATTGACCGGGCGCCCATAATTCGTATAGGTGTTGGCTATTTACTCGCTCTTTTTAGAGAGTTGTCAATTTCATGCGAGTGTCACACGGCCAATAAATGTCTATAGGTGTGCAAGATTTGAAATTTATATCTTTGTTTATGTGTAAGGCCTATTTGCAGCAAATTTGCTAAATCTCAATTCAACTAAAAGTAGATTTAGCCCATATAACAATGTTAAATTGACAGTAACGTTTTGACATTTTCCTATGAAATAAAGCTAGTTTTAGTTAAATCGAGATTAAGCAAATATGCTGCAATTGGGCCTTAGTGTCGTAATTACAGTTTTCTTTTTTTTGTATGCTGGGGGCATGCCCAAATTTGAATGAATGAATGTATTGAATGGTAAGGTATATCACTATACTTATCTCCTTTTCGGGTCGCGTCCGTGTTGCTCTATAGTGCTAGTCATCGCTAGCTATTCAATATCAGACTAATTTAGATCTTTTCTCAAAGAGTTTACTTCTTAATTAAATTAGCTAAACAGGTTTAACTCTTACAATTAATTATGTTATTTATTTTTTAAGCCTTTAACTGTTAGATGTTCAACTCAAAAGAAAAGGCTACTAGAAAAAAATCCACGCGGAACAGGCAGGAGACGGGACTCGAACCATTGCAGCCTAAGGCTAGAGAAAATTCGACACGGCCGTCAGGGCCGTGGTAGCATAATGGTCAGTGCATTCGCCAGATAGCGAAGGGTGCGAGTTCCAGTCCCGTCTGCTGCCTGGTCCGCGAGGATTTTTTTCTAGTAAACTTATCTTTAGATCTTACAATTAAATTTTTAATTTGTTTAGTTGAAATACTTCTAACTTGAAATTATAATTTTATTCCTGATGATCACTCACCTTGATGAATCCTTTGCCTTCATTAGTCTCCTCTATATAATAGAGCAGTCTGTTTCTGTTCTGTCTGATGTAGTGTGGTGTTTCCACCTCCTCGATAATTCCAGGCGGTCGCTCTCTACTCGGCGTCTCGCCCGACGACGACGGTTGCCTTTAAACAAAATCATATTTAGATGTAGAAGGTAAACCAATCACCTTTATAGGCACAAACAGTCACTGATAACTCTAGGAAATAGTAATCCCAATCTTGATTATTTTACATGCATTTAATTTTCTAATAAAATTGATATTTACAGATTTGCTAATATTAATAATTTCTAATCTATATGCAAGCAAACGAAGCGAATGAATATTTCGGCAAACATCCGGCAGTGTTCGGCGGTTTTAGTATTTCTCGCGCGTAATTTAAGCGCGAACAGTCACACATCAAGTTTTCTAAATAGATTGTGAATCGTATGACATTAAGTATTAAGTTGGTAACCCTATGTGTAACTGAAGAGAAAGAAAATTGCAGAGCAATCGATGCTTTTCAGAACAAGTATCTTAGTGGCGTTATAATAAAGCCGTAGTGGGTCACTTAATAGCTCGGTGATTATCACTTCCATCTGTCAAAAGCAGTTAGCGAATAGGCCTACTGGGCCTTATTGCACCAAGTCGACATGTGTTATTAATCCGACGGTTTGTTGTGACATTCAATGTTCGATACTGGCTTTGCTTATGCGGAATTTTTCATTGAAAGCAAAATCATTATTCCTTTCGCGGAGAGCCATTATATAACTAACAACTAAAACGCTACAATTGTAACGCAAATCATCTGACACGGCTCCAATCTCATGTCAAGAATTACTGACAATTTGTCAAATATGTATGTGGATTTGAAAAATTACACTTGCTTTACAACATGACTGTCGTTGAAATAAGATACAGACAATGGACAATTGTTATAAAATGCGTGTCATTTTTATGACATACTAGCTGTGCCCCGTGGTGTTACTCACGGTTTATTAGGGATATTTTCCCGCAGTAAAACGTAGCCTATGTGTACATCCAGACAGAGTGTCAGCTAACTGCATACAAAATTTTATTAAAATCGCTCCAGCCGTTAAGACGTGAAGAAGTAACAAACATACACACTCAAAAACTTTCGCTTTTATAATATTAGTGTGATGATTTGTCTTATTATGTTTTCAAATAACGTTCGATGGATTGTGTATTGTGAATATTTTTATCTCATTTTAATTTCCTTTCCAGTAAAATACAGTTTGTTTTATTTATACATTCATAGGAACACTGTATTAATATTAAACGGGAATGGGCGTTAATTCTGCAACACAGTTTTTGTAAAACTATAGCAGAATTAACGTTTCATAATTTTATGTACATTGCACTTGTTTTAAATGAAATTATTATTATTATGTCAATTGATGGAATAAGTCCCCGGTGCAGTCAGCACTGGTATTGACCTGTCAAGCCTCAGCGGAACATCGTCGCGTGGGCCGCCGAGCAGCACCCGGGGCGGCAGGTACCGCGAGCGGCGCAGCGCCCCGGCCGGGTTGGGCGGACTGATGCCCGTGTTGATGCCCATTATACGCTGCATGTTGAAGTTCCTGCCCACCTGACCCCTACGACACAGACACTGTACCTGACTAAATATTTTTATTTCACACTAGTTGACCCCGCGTACTTCGTACTGGTTAAAATAATTTGGAAGAAATGACGGACCTGAGTCTACCGTTCCAAAAGGGATGAACGTCAAAAGTTTGACAGGAGAGAAGATAGAACAGTTTATATGGGAAAATTAAATTGATGTTTTTACTATGTTCCTCGCAATTTTTCCATATTTTCTCACCGTTCAGCCGTTCTCGAGTTTTAGCGAGACTAACGAACAGCAATTGATTTTTATATACATACTAGCTGACCCAGCGAACTTCGTACCGCCCTAAAAAAATAGGGGTTGTCCAGCGGACAAAATTGTGAATCTAAACCATTCTCAGATCCCCTTGAACATACACAAAAAATTTCATCAAAATCGGTCCAGTCGTTTAAGAGAAGTTCAGTGACATACACACTCACAGAAGAATTATATATATAAAGATATAGATTGAGATTGGATTCAATATGTTTATGGACATTAATGAAGGATGTAAAAGTATGAATTGTGGGTAAATGAAGCTTCGCACTTTTAGTAGTGCTTTAACTCCGGCGGGATTTGAATTACATTCAAGTTTTCAGAGAACAGAAATGGTTTTAAAGTGAAACCCTTATTACATCGACACAATTTTTATTGTAAATTTTTAGCATGTGACATTTCTGAACTGTGGAACGGTAGTTCAGTGGAAGAAAGTTCGAATGCCATGCGGACGGCCCGGATTCGTTCCCCAACGCGGAAGGACTTTTTTTCATTTTGTATCAATATCTTAGTACCGGTAGCAAAATTCCGCTCACGCATTTATTGTGGATAAAATTTTCAATTACATATCTACAACCCGAAAAGTTTTAAAAAACGATCTTACTACAAAAGGTAGACTAAAGTTAAACCTGGAATAAAACAGATGCTGTGACTTTTGTTTGCTAAAAAGAAGACAAAGACAACATTAGGTTGAAACCAAGATTAACTTTAGTACGCGTTTTGTAGTGAGGGGGTTAAAGTTTTACTTGCATCAAGATTTCATACAATAAACATAACATTTCTTTTTTTCAATTTGGTTGTTCTGTGTTTTGGTACTTCTACTGAATGAGTCATAGTAACGAGAGTAATGAAATGAAAAGTCATTTATTCAGTCTAGGCTGTTACAAGCACTTGTGAAGGTCAAGAAGCTACGCCATCGGTTCGCAAAACTACGGCGGGAGACCTTGTACTGAGAAGAACCGGCAAGAAACTCAGCAAGGGCTGTTTTTTTCTCCCTGTATTGTTATATACAGAGTCGTCAAGTTAAAAAATGACTTCACGTTTGAAGTCATTTTCCATTACATCATTTAGAATATAAATATATAGTTACAATAAATTTTATGGTTAACAATATATTTAGTATATAGGAAGCGGCGTAAATAAGAATCTACCAGACTCAGTTAGAATCTTAGGCCCATATTATAAAAAGATTCTCAGTGATTGATCTAGTCTTGAGCATAGTTAGAAAGGGATGTCGCTATATATAGCACATAGCGACATCTCTTTCTAACTGTACTCTAGTAAAGATCAACACTTAGTTGTCCTTCTGTAATACGGGCCTTAGAGTGAAGGGGAAGGGTATGCAAGGTTCTGCCCCCCCCCCCCTCCCCCCCACTTCATATCGTTATTTTGAATACGCTGTCAGCAATTAGCAGACACGGAGCGCAAGGAAAGAAATGACTGCATAACCTTCTATGCATTTGATTACTACACTACGTACGAACAGTCCGCGCGTGCTTGTTAACCAAGAAGTGCTTTAGTGGCGTTCAAGCACTTTTTGATTAAGACACATTTTCAGCTCTCGTAGTGTGTTGTATTCAATATCGTTGGTGCGTACGGAAAGGTCAGGGTACTCAATATTGTAGGGCAAAGTATTGTTCTATCAATGGGAATAATTACAAAAGAAAATTAGTAGTATTCAAATGGATAAAGTCACTTACCGACTGTACATTTCCTGTAACGTCCTGTGTTGCTTGATGGTAATAGAAGCTTCCCACACGTCATTTTGTATACTCGATGGTCCATTCTAGAAACACGAGATATAATTACAAACTTTCTAATTATAATATGTATTTGTATTATCATTACGAACTAACTTCACAATCGACATAAAACAATGTCCGGACAGAGAAAGCCTGAACAATGATATGGTTTCATTTTAAACCTTTAGGTTCACATTAACGAGTTTGTAAAACAAAAACAATATAGTTTATTATGTTTTCTTAAGCATTTAACTGCTAGACGTTTAAATATAAAGAAAATGTTACTAGAAAAACATCCATGCGGCCAGGCAGCAGACCAAGCAGGCGGATGCACTGACCTATTATACTACCGCGGCCTCAGTGCCCGTGTCGAATTTCTTATAGTATTTCTTAGGCTGCAAGGCAGCGCCATCTCTTCACACTGTGGGTAAACTACAAATTCAACTAGAATGTTTGCTAGTAAAATTTTCTTTAGATAAAAAAACGGTCAAGTGCGAATCGGACTCGCGCACCGAGGGTTCCGTACAAACCTGTAGGTATATTTTAATAATTATTAAAAAATATTTTTTATATTTTATTTTATTTTATTTTTTATTAATAATGTAACTAAAAATTTACGGTTATCGCATTTTTTTCTTTATCGGTACTACAAGACGTTACTTCGTACCAAATTTCAAGATTCTATGTTCACTGGAAGTACCCTGTAGGTATTGATTTCTGTGCGAGTTTCGAAAATTTTCGGCATAAACCGTTGTATCTTTTGATTGCTTTGACTTAGAAGTTTGATTTTTTCACAGCTCCAAGTGACAGTAGACCTGAGTATTAGATATGAATTTCAGTTTGATACCTCCACGCGTTCCTGAGAAAAGCGGTCTTGACAGACGGACGGACGGACAACAAAGTGATCCTATAAGGGTTCTGTTTTTCCTTTTGGGGTAAGGAACCCTAAAAACAATATAAATAAATAGTTACTGCTAGTCTGGGGTGGTCAGACCCAGCCGCGGGGTCTTCGCTGCGGGCCGCGCTTGGGCCGGGCTCGGGCACCGGCTCGTCTCGCTCCTCCTCTCTCTCGTTCTGGTTGTCTGCTGACCTAGGATTAAGGAGAAAATTACTTACGGCTGCCTTGTTTACAATACTATAATTTGCAGTCATGTCCCGGACTTTTCATGCTGTTGTCTGAATTTTGTACGGCTTTATTTTAATATTTAATATTTTTCCGCATTTTTTTAGCTTATAAATTTCATAATTAGAAGTTAACTAAATTGCCTAATATTGTTTTTTCACAAATTCCTCCCCATCACACTACGTGGGGGTGTTTGTATTTAGTGACTCAAATGTCTAGAGGAACCTATCTGCAAAGTCTGGGTTTTTGTCAGGATTTTTCCAATTTCTTAAAGGTAGGTAAGAGCGAGCGCGAATTCATAATCACTATCGGATCACGATATGATGGTGTTACGACACCCTTGTTGTTGGTAATTACTGCGAGTGTGAAGTCGCGCTAGAGGAAGCAGCGTCGTCAAGCGTAGTCTACAAGCGTCGTCGTTACAGCCAGGGCAGGATTAAGAGATGTGAAGGCCCTGGGGTCTGGAAACCCGGGCCACTTACTATTTGCATCCTCCTGATTGGTTACACATTGAAATTTAGCTATTTCATCTCAATACTGGGGGGCCCTCTCTTGTGGGCCACAGCCCCGCCTGCCCTTAAATCCAACCTTTGTTACAGCCATGAGACGTTTACTAAAACCAGCCTGTGTGTTTCATATACATTTAATTACTGTGACAGTGAGGTCGTAGCCGAAGTCGAGAGTCGGGGCGTAGGCCACGCGTGTGTACTCACTGTAAGTGTAAGGCGGCAGGGACGGGGCCGGGGCGAAGGCCACGCGTGTGTACACATTGTGAGTGTAAGGCGGCAGGGGCGGGGTCGGGGCCGAGGCGTAGGCCACGCGTGTGTACTCACTGTGAGTGCAAGGCGGTAGGGGCGGGGCCTGGACCGGGGCGTAGGCCACGCGTGTGTACTCACTGTGAGTGCAAGGCGGTAGGGGCGGGGCCTGGACCGGGGCGTAGGCCACGCGTGTGTACTCACTGTGAGTGCAAGGCGGTAGGGGCGGGGTCTGGACCGGGGCGTAGGCCACGCGTGTGTACTCACTGAGTGTAAGGTTGCAGAGATGGGGCTGGGGCCGGACCGTAGGCCACGCGTGTGTACTCACTGTGAGTGTAAGGCGGCAGGGACGGGGCCGGGACCGAGGCGTAGGCCACGCGTGTGTATTCACTGTGAGTGTAAGGCGGCAGAGACGGGGCCGGGGCGTAGGCCACGCGTGTGTATTCATTGTGAGCGTAAGGCGGCAGGGGTGGGGCCGGGGCGTAGGCTACGCGTGTGTACTCACTGTGAGTGTAAGGCGGCAGAGATGGGGCCGGGGCGTAGGCCACGCGTGTGTACTCACTGTGAGTACAAGGCGGTAGGGGCGGGGTCTGGACCGGGGCGTAGCCCACGCGTGTGTACTCACTGTGAGTGCAAGGCGGTAGGGGCGGGGTCTGGACCGGGGCGTAGGCCACGCGTGTGTACTCACTGAGTGTAAGGTTGCAGAGATGGGGCTGGGGCCGGACCGTAGGCCACGCGTGTGTACTCACTGTGAGTGTAAGGCGGCAGGGACGGGGCCGGGACCGAGGCGTAGGCCACGCGTGTGTATTCACTGTGAGTGTAAGGCGGCAGGGACGGGGCCGGGGCGTAGGCCACGCGTGTGTATTCATTGTGAGCGTAAGGCGGCAGGGGTGGGGCCGGGGCGTAGGCTACGCGTGTGTACTCACTGTGAGTGTAAGGCGGCAGAGATGGGGCCGGGGCGTAGGCCACGCGTGTGTACTCACTGTGAGTACAAGGCGGTAGGGGCGGGGTCTGGACCGGGGCGTAGCCCACGCGTGTGTACTCACTGTGAGTGCAAGGCGGTAGGGGCGGGGTCTGGACCGGGGCGTAGGCCACGCGTGTGTACTCAATTTGAGCGTAAGGCGGCAGGGACAGGGCCGGAGCCGAGGCGAAGGCCACGCGTGTGTACTCACTGTGAGTGTAAGGCGGTAGGGGCGGGGTCTGGACCGGGGCGTAGGCCACGCGTGTGTACTCACTGAGTGTAAGGTTGCAGAGATGGGGCTGGGGCCGGACCGTAGGCCACGCGTGTGTACTCAATTTGAGCGTAAGGCGGCAGGGACAGGGCCGGGGCCGAGGCGTAGGCCACGCGTGTGTACTCACTGTGAGTGTAAGGCAGTAGGGGCGGGGTCTGGACCGGGGCGTAGGCCACGCCTGTGTACTCACTGAGTGTAAGGTTGCAGAGATGGGGCTGGGGCCGGACCGTAGGCCGCGCGTGTGTACTCATTGTGAGTGTAAGGCGGCAGGGGCGAGGCCGGGGCCGGGGACGGGGCGTAGGCTACGCGTGTGTACTCACTGTGAGAGTAAGGCGGCAGGGACGGGGCGGGGGCGTAGACCACGGGGGTGTACTCACTCTGAGTGTGAGGTGGTAGGGGCGGGTCCGGGGGCGGAGGCCGGGGGCTGCGGGCGTGGCTGTCGGTGCAGGCGGGGGCGGAGTCTTCGTGCCGGCCTTCTAGCCGCCAATCGTCGAGGGGCGCGCGCCACCACGCTGTCACGCGTCGATTTGTCGCTACCCTCACCTTCTGAATACGGCTGAATGTCGTGAATGCACGACCACTAACCCAAAAATTGAAATAAATCATAATCATTAGCTTATTATTGTTCCCACTGCTAAGGCACTGGCCTTTCCTATTCAAGGAACAATTTAAAAACGATAATGAAGTTAGAAAATAATAATAAAATGAGAGACATTAGCTGCGCTAAATTAAGTCATCGGAAGTAATTTCACAATTGAGCGTAATAAAAGCTATATAGAGAAAGAAACATTAAAATTTAAATGAGATATTTGTTATAAGAAAGTATTATCTATATTTATGTACATATATTTTCTAAAATGATTATAGAACTAATGTAATGCGGGCGCATTTCATGATTACGAAAATCTTCTTATGTGAATAAAATCATGTGTAACAAAATCAACAATAAATGAAACATTTTAGATTGTTTGAATACTACTTGTCGATGTTTTTTAAAATCATAATATCACTATTCGATACTGTGCAATACCCACCTCGGACCTGTCGTCATGGCTTATATTTCTACTTAAAGCACTCCATCCTTGCGGGTGTATCTGTGAACAACAGAAGCTCTTTATAGATTAACAGCCATACTTATTTATAGAAACGTCAAAAAATAATAAAGACTATTAAGAGCCGTGATGTCTCCTTTTAGTGTTATCACAAAAAAGGTGTCAGCATCAACTTTAGGCTGGCCTTACACAGTCTGAATCAGTATCTGGATTCGTAATATGAATATTTATTTATTAGTACTATCCACACCACATCCACACACAACCTAATTATTTCAGATTATGACTTTGTCCTATTGCGTGTGAATAGTAGTATAATTTTATGCAATTCCTTGCGCTCGGAATTATTAAATATTGTCACAAACGCTCTCGAACCAAAACCGCGACTATACTAGAAACAGATTTAGCCCAAAAGCAGCGGCTCGAGACGTGAAGTGCGGTCCATTCTAGTATGAGCCTTATGCAGTGCGGCACAAGAGTGAAAATGCAACAACACCTGCACTCGTTTACAACTCATGCGCTTTACCTACGTATAACTAGGTACTACGTACTGGCAGAACTTTTATGGAACGCATCGATGGGCGTATAAAAGGGCGTCCGGCGCCGCGCCGGGGTCACTTTATTTTCAAGGCAATAACAGTTGAGTTTCAACAGCGATTTCGGAACGAATACAAAGGCGATCAAAGTGCAAGTAAACTGTTTAAGTGCGATTGTTTAAAGACTTGTATAGTGTACAGTGAGTCGTGTACTGTGTGTTTAAGAAAGACTAGTGTGAACTGCGAGGTAAATAAAGAACTGTCAAGCGCGAACTGGCATATTTTTTCGAACCTTATCCCGACATGTAACAATATGAATTCATATTATGAATCTAGATTCTCATTCTGACTGTGTAAGACCAGCCTTAGGGAAAAAATAAAAGTGCAAAGTATTTTGGTTCTTTATTTATTAAGTCACATTGGGAGCTAAACAAGGAATCACTGTCATTATTGTTTGATGGTAAAAACCAGCGAACACTGTAGTATGAAAGATAAGTATGGGTTCTAAAAAGTCATTTCTGTGGGGGCACCTCAGGGGCACTTGTATAAATGACAATAATGACTATAATTAGCTTTTTTAAGTGTTTTTGATAGTCAAGTTTCCAAATTTTGTGTTTTTGAAGTGAAAATTTCTTTAGTATCATTGTGACTTAAGATTCGATGAAACGGAAGTAGAGTATTTGAACACAAGATACATATCCGTAATTTTATAATTTGCTATAAGATGTAGATAGCTGAACGGTAACGGTCTTGGAGTCGACACCAAATGAGCGATGGCTTGATCCTGAGCTCGGTTATTTTTTTTAATTGCTTTTTTGTGTCCTCCGACGTTTAACTGGAAAGATTTTTATGACACTCAGGTGTCATGGGACGTTTGGGAGGATATAAAGCTTGAGAAAAGGCATCTCATCACAACATTCGAGGTGTTTTGTATATGTCTACGTTTGTAGAGTTTTTTCATATTTTTTATATCTATCTCAAAAGCAGTGATTTGCAATTAATCAACCCCGCAATCACGCGGGGTACCGGGTTCAATCCCGGTCGGGTCAAATTTCATCTTTGGAAAATATGTAAATAATTCGTTTATTAATTCGGTTTAGTGTTGCCATGTATCGAGAAATTAAACATTTTGCTATGCGTTTACGGCAGTGCTTATGTAGCAAGACTAGCATATAAACATGTGTGCTTTAAATTATCTAACCTTTAAAATAGTTTGCTTAAAATACCTTAGATGGAGGGTGCGATCACAAGTATCTATATTTATGAAACTTAGTATCTAAGTAATAAAGTTTATTTTTGTTTGCGGAAAATACATCTTTAATTAAATAGTATATTAATATTTCATTTGAAATGGTTAGTTTAATAATGTCTTTAAGCATAACGCACATTTTCAGTTATTTCTTTTATTAAGGTATTCATTTAAAACAATTAAAGTATCAAATATTAAGTAGTAAAAAGTAAATAAGAGTTCAATTTTAACACACTAGTCATGAAGGACTTTTACGTGTTCACATTTTTGTAGGTTTTACTTCTATCGTATGTGAACAGCACATGTCCTTTTTTTACAAATTTAATTTTTAATGTTTATTTACAATTATTATAAAGTATATATTTTACCTGTAAAGATCCAACAACCTTGGCGTCATTGCCATCAGGGAAGTCAGAGACAAATTCAATGCGATTTTCCTTTCGATTGCTATCAAACAGGTGATCGTACATGGCAGCGATCGGAATTAATTGTTGGCTCATTTGCATCAGCCTGTACAAGTTGGGCTGTAAGAGAAAAGTCCGTCACAAAAAAACGTAAATAAGAAGAAAAAAAGCTACATAATCATGATGATAGATGATTTGGTACTTCCGTTGAAGCCTTGGTAGATTCTGGTCTGAAACCTAGGGCTAGTAGAAATATTTTTTTTATAAAATTCTAAAAGTTGGATGCTTAAATACAAATATAATAAAATCAAATTTATTACAGTTTAGGATTAATTATCATATTAAATTTTAGGCTTTGATGATCCTAAAATTTATACTTTATACAAAGAATAACCAGTAAGAAAATCCGCTTCGGCTGCTTCCTGTGCTGACAGGACATCAAATGTTTTTAAGATAACTTAGATAATTTGTTTCTAAGGTTTCATGCACAACACTCATTAAATAAAACTAGTTTTAACGGATTAATGCACGAAATTTATTTATTTATTGACATCGCAGCCTTTTCAGGTCTGCATCGTCAGAATAATGAAAAGGCTGCGAAATGTTTAATCCGTTAAAACTAGTTTTATTTAATTTAAATAAAGTTAAAAGCCCCTAACTTAGTTTCCTCCATATCCATTTAGACTATAACAAATTTAATAAAATCAGTAATTTAGCTAACTTTAAAATTTTTCTTTTATTCTTAAATGCTTGTTTCTTTCATGCTGTAAAAAGAGGGTGGTCAATACTGCCTATAGGAAATGCAGTGTCATTAATGACCCATTAATGAGTGGTTATACAAGTAATTCCTAATTATGCAATTATACTTTGATGAGTGGTTATACAAGTAATTCCTAATTATGCAATTATACTTTTACCTCCATTCGTTTAAGGAATGTATGACATGGAAGAATTAAGTTTTGTTTGTAAAATCTTACCTTAAATCCATGCAAATGCTGTGCCAACGTTGACAGATTGAGATCATGTACAATAACTAAGAGTCCTCCAGTAGTACACATGACCATTTGACGAGCATCCGGTGACAGTTTGCACCGCATCAACCCAGATGCATGGAATACCCTCTGATAGACTAGGTTGTATTCTATAATCAGAAGGAAAGTATTAGTATATTTTGTCAGGTACAAAATATACTATAGTTAGAAAATTTTTATTTTGTTTGATAGGCAATCTTTTCAATCATAGTTGGTTGATTTGCAACCAACAAATTACACAATGACTGATCACCATTATATACATATATTGTGTGATCATTGTGGAATTTTTCATTCTTATATCATTAATCTAATATTTCATTTGGAGTTGAAAAGATTGTCAATCAAACAAACTACAACCAATTAATATAATACTCAAATGGTTATTTGAAAACTAACCTGTGTAAGAATTTATATCCCATGTGTAAATACTGCCCTCCAGTCCAGAGGTAACCAAAAGTTTATCCTTAAAAGAGAATTCTATATTTTTCACCCAATTAGAGTGCCCTAATAATGACCTTATCTTCTTTTTTAAGTTTCGAACATCCCATAATGCCACTGTCGTATCATCTGAACAAGTTGCAAACATTCTACCATCCAAAAATCTGTAATTGTAAATAAAATTTCTTATATACATATTCATATTTATCTTAAAATAGTGGGTGCCTGCGACTTCATATGCATGGAAATATTAGTTTCTTATACAAGCTTTGAACCCCCATTTTACTCCTTTAGGGGATAAGTTTTGGAAAATCCTTTCTTAGTGCATTATTACATCATAATAGCTATATGTGTCCAAATTTCAGTGCAATCCGTTCAGTGGTTTGAGCTGTGCATAGATAGATGAGTCAGTAAGTTGCATCTCAGACTTTATATCAAAATCAAACATTCTTGTTTGATTTTTATTATTCTTAATAAGTATCCAATTATTTCCCCTACTCCTCCATAAAGCCTCCTTTTAGCCAAGTTTAAAAAACAGGCCAAAAGGTTTCTACTCAACAATCAATGAATAGCAATAACATTAACAATGATATTGTTATTCCACTGTCAACACATTATTTATAATATTTCACATAGAAAAACCTGTTAGACTGATAGGAACTGTTCAAAAGCATATGTTTTTATTTGTAATATTATCGGATACTTATTTGAATATGTAAATAAAATATAATCACTTGACACAGTTGACACAATCTGAATGAGCTCCATGAACTGAGTGCACCCTCTGATGGGTGAGAGGATCAAATATTTGAATGCTCTTCTTCTCACATGCTGCTACTAAGAGAGACCTGCAATGAAGAGATTACAATAATCAAAGCTTAAGAAATTATCTTGGTATCTCAAATATGTGAGCAGAAAAATAATTGTTATTTGAGTTTATTACGGTTGCTTTCCGGTCAAGTGCAATGCCAAGGTAAATGAGTTATATTCCAACGTACCCTTCCGGTGAAAATTCAAGGTTGTATACACCTCCAGTGGGTAAACTGTTAGATTGCTCACTGTCCCAAGAAGCGATAGGTTTCATACCACAGTAAAGGCTCTTCGCCAATGCATCACCACCCCCAACAGGAGTCCCAAACCCCAATTCCTTCCTCCACAAACGATATGGATTGAAGGCAGAGTTCCTCGCCATAAAGTCTTTGTTGGCCATTGTGATAACAACAAAATAATGTGTGCATTGATCAATGGACGAAATATATAATTAAGTACACAACATTGCAATAGTATCTAAAATCGGCAGATGGTTACTGTTAATTCGCTACATACATATCGAATATCGATACTATTCTTGCGGACATTATCAGTACGGCCTGGATTGCCTGACCCTGGAATGTACCACAAAATTGGAAGGAAACCATTTACGTCAAACGCAGATTCTTTCTTTTTGATTATTGGCGGTTGGAGCCCTATTGCACTAAACTGAGCAAGCTAGGCCCCAGGATCGCGTCGTCCCTATAGATGTAAAAAAACCGATTTAAAACGTTTTAAACATAATGTTGCCGTTGTAAACCCCAAATAAATCGTTTTAAATGGTTGAAAACTGGCATACAAAAATAAAAGAACTATGGTTTTTACACTTCAACAATTAATTTTTTTTTTACCAACACAGAGTTTTTAACTGATAAGGGTTTTTATAACTTAGGTAGGTAATACCTACGCTTGGTCGCGGATGGACCAACTAGAACTAAACTCGCTAAGTATATCAATATCAGTAAGTATATTACACATTTAAAAAATCTTTATACAGTTTATAGGTACTCCGTTATATTCCTACCTCGTTAAAATCAAGACAATGGTGTCGATTCTGGCACAATTATCTAAACCTAAACTTAGATTTGACAACAGTCTATCTTTGTCTTTCTGTGTACGGAATGAAAAGGAGAGACTGATTTTAAATTTAGTTTTAAGTTTAGAGAATCATGCCAGAATCGACACCATTGTAGTTATAATTAAGAAAACATAGTCATTAACACCAACCGTTTTAAATCGAATAAATGGTTTATTTCAGTTTTAAACGGTATTTTTCGTTTCAAACGGATTGGTTTTAAACCTGCCTTACATCTATAGTCGTCCCGCTCGCACTCAGCTGCCAAGTTTTATTAGAGCGTTATTAAGCAGTAGGGATGTCGAAAGTTGAAAAAAATATCGATATATCGATACATCGATCTATTAAAAAATATCAATATCGGCTTCGATATATTGCGAAAAAAACATTGATATATTGGACCAACTTTCCCAAAAATATCGTATAGTATCTCACGAAATATGACACGCGGAATAATAATGGAACGAAAATTATCTCCCTAAAAACAGACCCTATTTTCTAATGATGAAAATGATCGCAGGGTCTCTTTCGTAAACAAGACTAAACAGTCACACACTTCACAGAATATAATGGAAATCAGCACAACCAATTCACCAGCGGAACAGATTTACAAATAATAGACAATACTAAATAACAGCACAGATCATAGATATGTTGAATATCATTAATCTGAGATCCAGTTACGATTTTTCCAGATACGAATTTAGTAAGATCGTGATATGCCGCTAATAATCAAAAAAATATCGTTTTTGATACGAATTTCGATATTGGTTATTTTGTATCGATATATCGAATCAAAATATATCGTAAAAAAATATCGATATACAACCAAAAAATATCGATATATTTTCAACAAGCCTAAAGCAGAAAGCGACTACCGGCCATTGTTATATCAAACGAAATTTGGTTCCATGAACCAATGTTAAGTTTAAACCTACTTTATCCTAAAAATGCCTGCTGGTGGCTTTCTGCCTAACAATGACTGCCTATGAATGATCCTGCGCCCAAAACTTGCTCAGTCTATTCGTTATGTAAATATGGTGTAAAAAAATCATCCCCCATTTAATGAATAAACCATAGCTATATTTTGCTAATATATTAAACTTTCATGGTCACGCTATAATGTTAATAGCTATTAACGGGATTGTTACCGTGTACCCGGTTTTTTTTAGGCTTCGATATTTCGGCATTGTTGCAAGCATCATGATCACAGAGTACCATCCCGTTAATAGCTAAAGGAACGGGAAAATTAATGGTTTCCTTTGTTTGTAAATATGTTAAAGAGAAATGTATAAAAAATATTTCGAATAAATAAAACAAGTTTTAGAAGTTGAACCATATATTTCATATAAATGTTTAATTTTGCACCATTTCAGTGATACAACTGTAATTCACAGTCTACAATATTCAGTTATTACTCAATTACATTGGTCGGTCATTGGATGGCTGACCAAAAATTTACTAACTCGAGCTCCTTCTAAAACATAAGGCACGTTAAGCCGTTGGTTCCGGCTACATCTGCAGTCGTTAGCACCCACCAATTCACCCGCGTTGTGGGTCATGGTCCCCAGCAGTAAGGCCATTAATAGGCCGATGATGACTCGATTGCTTACAAGAGTCTAGGATGAAAAACTTCACACGATAATGGGGTAATGAAGGTTGGATTAATGAAAACAATACAAGCCAGCCATTGACAGAAAAGCCAGGATTCGTTGGTAAAACCGTTCGAATTAACAAAACAGGGACATCATTACGTCCGGTTCTATTGATTTCTTCAGTGATGGCTCCCTCAGGATTTGGCCAATATCTGGTGTTTATGTCCAAAATTTAGACTACCTTTTAGCTCAGCTGTTTCTGCTAATACTTTCGTGCCGGAATTTTAAATTATAAAATCATCTGTACTTGTACTTCTGATATCGACAAAGACCACAGCACAGGACCACAGTGATGTGCTTTACATACAGTCACAGCGTATTACATCAAAACATTATAAAATTGTATTTATTGAAATAGTTAGGGCCAGATGTTAATTCTATGATGGTATGAAAAAAGAGCCCAAAATACTAGTCATTGTTATGGATTGTATTTTTTAACATATAGCCTTATCGTAATATATAAAGTTAAAAACATTTGCCAATTGTTTTTATTGATATAAAATGTACCAGATGCTAACAATGATAAAAAAAGAAAACTACATATTCGTTATAGTTACAGATTATATCTCTAAAATGTGTTGTCATTTTAAAATGACACATTTTAGAGATACAAGTAGTAAGGAAATTGTTTTATTTATATAGCTTTATAAACACATTTTAAATAGTATAATAGCAAGATTAAAAATTAAACAGGTTTGTAGTCCAACTTGCTTTCCAACTTCTTGTTATCGGCGACTTTCCGCACAGCTTTCATAAGATCCTCCTGCAAAAAATAATAAATATTAAGAGAACGAAAGTTGCTTGATGTGAAGGAGAATTGTGGCAATTTTAAATTTTATAGTTATAAACAAGAATTAGAAATGATATCAATGAATAGATAGCCAAATTTATTACCAGATATTTGATTTGTCAAATTATTTTATTTGTCTGTGTGCGTGTAGTGTTTTGCAGTTTAGTTCTATGAATTTGGAATCATGTTTTGTGGGTCAATTGAGGGTGTTTACGACTGCAGTTGGTCCCGGCTGCACCTGCAGGCGTTAGCACCCACCAATCCGCACTGGGCCCGTGTGGTGGGTCACGAACCAGTCTCCTATTCTATCCACAGGGAAGGCCTGTACCACAACATTAAGGACATTAAAAGCCTGATGGTGTTTAATATCTCACCTCTCTCTAAAGGACATGATAAAATTTTGTTTGAGTGACTGCCCTAGCAATGTATAAAAATTGTTCTTAGTAATATTTCTAGCTGAACATCTAAATATTTATTATAAAAGGCTGTGAAACTTTTGATTAATTTACAATTCTGAAAATTATGAAAACTGACCACTGCTGCTGCCTGACAGGAAATCTGTCAAGATTAATTTTGTTCATTTGCAAAAATTAAAGGAGTAATTCTTATGCAGTCTTATGTCAACTCTGATCAGAAAAAAATATATTATGTTAAGGCTTCGGTGAATTCTTAAAAAAATAGGGCTAAGTGTTCTACAGTTTTTAGGATTTTGGAATCACTATTGTGTTATTTTATTTTCCTCGTGGAGTAGTCATGAAATAAATTTTGCTACTTTTAAGTATTTGATTATTTAACGGCAGTTATATGAGAATAATCATCATCATCATTAACAGCCTATCTTTGTCCACTGCTGGACATAGGCCTCTCCAAATGCACGCCACTCAGATCGATCTTAGCTACTCGCATCCAGCTTCTGCCAGTCGCCTTGCGCTAATCGTCACTCCATCGCGCCTGAGGACGTCCTACACTACGTTTGCCTAGACGCGGTCTCCACTCCAGAACTCGTCTACACCATCGGTTATAGAGTATCGGTGTATGAGAATAATAAACAAGTAATTATACTTAACGACCTCCGTGGCCGAGTGGTTTGTACGCCGGGTTTCATGGTATCGCCGGCTCGAGAGGTCCCTTGTTCGAATCCCGGTGTGATGAATACGAGCATTTTAACTCCAGTCATGGATGTTTAATATGTAATTCTATATAAATCTTTATATATATAATTCTTCTGTGAGTGTGTATGTCACTGAACTTCTCTTAAACGACTGGACCGATTTTGATGAAATTTTTTGTGTGTGTTCAAGGGGATCTGAGAATGGTTTAGATTCACAATTTTGTCCGCTGGACAATGTTTTTTTAATTATTTTTTTTTATGGCGGTACGAAGTTCGCTGGGTCAGCTAGTATACTTATATATGTACGGTATATGTATACTATCCGTTACCCTAGTATCCCATAACACAAGCCTTATAGTGCTTACTTTGGGGCTAGGCTAATTGGTGTGAGTGTTGGAAATATTATTTATTTAATAATTAATAAACAAATATTTTAATGTTATGGGCTAGTGCGAAATAATTATACATGCTAAGGGTAGCTTCTTTGCTATGTCCTTTAAGAGCAATGCTCTTGGCGGTGCAGACTATGGATCTCTTTGACCACCTTGTACGACTCAACGCCAGCTTCCTCCTTAATCTGTTTAGTGTAGGCTATCCTCGGTCTTCCCCTTCCTGTCTTTCCTTATACTTTTCCCTCAATGATGAACTCACCTGTATGATGTATTCCCTCTCCGCCCTGATGGCGAACAGTCCTGCCTCAGTGCAAACGTTCCTCAAATCCGCACCGTTAAAAGTGTCCGATAGTTTCACCACCGCTTCGTAGTCCATCTCGCCGTGTTTGGCTATGGGCGCGGCGTGGATTTTCAGGATTTCCAACCTAAATAATCGTAAAATAAATACAGTTAAAACAGAATATAACGACAGGACGGTTATTACGACCAATTGGAAAGGTCCCGGCTGAAACCCTATATAAACCCTTAAGTAAACAAAACGCCTCGCGTCGCTCCCCTCCTGGGACGATCGCTTCCGATGTGGCCTTAGAGGCCTTCCCGGCCAGAGGCAGCCCCTACGGATGTTTTTTAGTCCGTACGAGTCTGACGTAACCTTGCAGCCGGCTGTAGGGTATCCATGAGTATTTCTCACCCGCTCCCCTGCCTGGGAGGAAACAAAAATATGTAAAACAAAACGCCTATAACAACTGCTATATGTAGCGATACCTATCGATATGTCCTATATCGATATTCAACGGCTATAACGACCAACCGTTTTACTTTTAGAGCAAAACAAAACATACTGTAGGTACTCTATTTTTTTTTAATCAATAAACTTTTTCTAACACATCTGCTCAAAAAATGCATTTACGGAGGTTGTATACATTGTTCGAAAGTTCAAAATTACGGCCCATATAACGGAGCGTGCGGTAATACGTTTCACAGCACGCTCCCATACATAGCACCGTGCGTATACTTTACTGTTTTTTTTTTTCGATCGGACCTCCTTGAAAGCTCCTTGGAGATGGAGACGAAAGATGTAGTTCTAATTTTCACCACCCGCAGGCGACGCTATTTGGCAATACATATAGATAAAGAGAGGAAGGAAACAACGATAAGGCCCTAAGGGTAAAGAGAAGGGAAAGGACTGAAATAGTAGGTAAAAGATAAAGATCTCCTATTTGCTGTCCAGCTTACCTAGCCTGTTCGTTAGGTAAGGGTATTTCGATCTTCCTATCCAGCCTGCCTGGTCTTAACAAGGCAGGGTCCAAGGTGTCCGGCCTATTGGTGGCCATGATCATCTTCACCTGGCCCAAGGAGTCGAATCCGTCCATTTGGTTGAGCAGTTCCATCAGTGTGCGCTGGATCTCTCTGTCGGCGCTTGTGCCTTCAGAGAAACGTCTGCCGCCTGTTGTTTAAGGATATGATTATGATTACATTCTGCCTTATTACAAAACGTTGAATAAAGTTAAACCCAGTTTAGGCTAGGTTAAAACTTCAGTTAAACCATGTCTAAAACCGATGTTTTAGACTAGGTGTACTAAGTAAGAGACAAAGATAGCATTAGGTATAAACCAAGACTAATTTTAGTCCGCGTTTTGAAATAAGGCGCATTAGATTTATATAAATTAAACTAGTGGACTCTAGAACCTGTCGGAGGTAGTTGTGAATCGAAGCTCTCCGAGACCCACGTACATAAACCAAATAAATCTCAGCAAATTCAGCCTAGCCAGTCACAAGGGATCGAAATCAAAAAAATCTAATTCAGTTTAGTATTTCCAGAACTTATATCGTACAAGCAAAGAAACTTTACCTATTCAAAAAAAACGAGCAAGCCTTACAGTAGTCGCGTATCATGTGTAACATTTGAAGCCTCACCTTATATTAGTAAAAAAAGAAATAAAACCTACTACAAAAAGAATAAGCCATTTGAACATTATTTTCTAAAATCAAATCAAATAGCGCGCGCTTCCCAAACTTCCTTTTACACACTTCCGTCCCACTTCACGTAATCACTCCCACAAATTACACGAAAGCGAGAGGAAAGATGTTACACATCAATAATAGGATAAAGTTTTACATAGAAATAAATGAATGTACATAGATAAACTGACCGATGGCGTCTATTTCGTCCATGAATATGATGCAGGGCTGATGATCGCGCGCGTAGTTGAACATCTCGCGGATTAGGCGGGCGGACTCGCCGATGTATTTGTCCACGATGGCTGACGACACCACCTGATATACGATGTGAATGATTCACTTTTATCAAAATCAACCTAAATAAAATTTAAAGAGAGGTAGGGCCACAAATGGCCCAATCTCCCTATTCCATCCATAGGGAAGGCCTGTGCCCCAGCAGTGGGGACGTTAATAGGCCGATGAGGAGGGTCACAAAACACAAAAAGAGGTTAGAAGGGCCTTGTGGGCGGGGCAAGCGCGCCACAGTTATGTGTGAGCAATTGCTCATAACTTGACCAAAACTTGGTTCTGATTGCGTCGTTGCTCTCTGGTGTGAGCGCTGATTAGTTCGATTGTTTGATGTCGCGTCATTTGATTGGCTATTATCAAGGTGGAAGTGTATGGTAGATGAGAAAGATAGATAATGCGTTTATATTTTTCTTCAACATACAAATACATTTCAGGGTAATAAAATAAAAAACGCGTGTTGGGTCATGGCCCAATCTCCCTATTCCATCCATAGGGAAGGCCAGTTTTAAGGCAAAACACCGATTTTCAGTCATCATCTTTTTGTGTGTATGTAGTGGGGGCGAGCTGGCGATATCGGTTCCTGTACAAACGGTAACTAATTACCCTTCTAGACTCTTTCTGTGATCTGTGGGTAGGGCATAGGGGATTTTCTGCTCGAATTGAAGCGCCCGTCTGGGTAAGTAACCTCCACCTTATGATGACCACAGTAAAATAACACTACCTTTTGGTGGTGTTGTGTTTCGGCCGGTGAGTAAGGTTCCGAGGCACCACAGGGTGGAGAATTGGGTCAGGGTAGGCAGCGACGCGACTGATATTTTTGTATCGCAAGCGTCTATAGGCTACCATAGACACCAATTGCCATCGGCCGGGCCATATATTTGTTTGTTTAACATAAAAGAAAATCACACTTTTGCATTTTAGTGTTTATAAAGAGAATTCAAGTTTAGGTTCTAGTAGTAACACTGTGTGACGATATCTATACCTTAAAAATCCCCATAATAAAAACTATGTATACTTTACTGTTAGCATAACATCCTCAGATTACAGAAAAAAAAATGCAGATAGAGCGCACGGAATACGCAATACGTGGCACCATAGCAAATACGAAGTCAAAAGGGAATATCAATTCGCCTCAGTACACCACAACGCATCGTGTTGCGAATACGTCCCGTGAATATTAAGTTTTTATCAAAACCAATCCACCTTGTACATACATCGTATAAACTGTTTAGAAAGACAAAAAAGCATTTACTTCTGATTTCGTATTTGCTTTGGTGGCACGCATTGCGTGTACCGTACGCTCTATCTGCCTTTTGTTCTGTAATCTGAGATAACATAAGATTTTGGCTGCAGCGGCAAAAACACTGCAACAGGGCAATAGCACTTAGCATTTATTGTGCTCGCACGCGGGTTTTTCTTTCGCGAGTGGCACAAGAAAAAAAAAACTTGGGTGCATGATAATGGTGAGCTGTACAGGTCCAACGCCGAAATCGCGAATAAAAAATCTGCTGTTTCATACAAAAGTGCATCAGGTAATCAACCGAAATGTATGAAACAGCTGTTATTTTTCGCGGTTTCATAGTTGGTCCCATAACAAAAGTTGTTCCTGTTGATGGGTAGGATCACCCCTTAAGGGGTTGTTAGTGTTTTAAAATTAACCTTGTATATTAATAAAAGCTCAATTTTACCAACCATGACTACCCATAACCTAATATAAAGGACATTGATACATTACCTTCAAAAAGTTGGCATCCAGTTGAGAAGCGACCGCCCTGGCCAGCAATGTCTTGCCAGTACCTGGCGGACCATACAGTAGGCACCCTTTAGGCGGGGTGATGCCCACTCGGACAAACAGTTCCGGGTTCATCAGTGGCAGTTCAATTACCTGTGTAAAATATTGTAACCATTGAAGGGTAAGCAGCTTCAAGAGACAAACAGTACAATTAGCACGAACCTATATCGAGTTCGAATAGTTGAATTCAATCTCGATACGCGTTAAGCGCCAAGAAGTGTTGTATGGAATTTTTCAACAGCACTACAACGGACGGAACGATAATTAAAAATCTTACATTCAAAACTTTTTGACATTGAATTCAACTATTAGAATTCGATATTGGTTCGTGCTAGGAGTCTTACTTCATCTCTTAGGTTTTCTCAAGTTTTCCCACATGGTAAGGGGGAGGACAGAAAATAAAATGTTATGGCCTGTCCACATCTCCACGTCACGGCGTCGTCAACGTCGGAACGGTATGGTGTCGAGGCACGGTGCTTTGCCGCGTTGTGGTAGTGCACGGTATGGCAACGTCGCCATGGGACGGCGCTCCTGACGTCGTCGTAAACCGACATAGCTACGATGCGCTTGCTCAGATAATGTTACACATTGTCTTAGTGATAAGTTGTCAATAAAAGATGTCGGACCTCGTTACCCTGTCTGTTTAACAATAGCAGAAGCAGATAACATATTGTGCGGTCCATATCTAGAACGAGACTGCTATTTCTATGGTACGTTAGTGAATCTTACATGGCACGGTGGCGTGTAACGGTGCGGCGTCGTGACGTGCATTTTTACGATACGGTAGTTACCGCACCGTTTCACGTTGACGAAGTCGTGACATGGAGATTTGGACAAGCACTTGCACAATTGGTTCTTATTACTATTTTATTTTATGAATCTAAGGGGGTTTTCTGCGCCATACCGAATGCCAATTGATCAGTGAAATATCGACATGCCATTTGATTGAATGACAAATAATCTATAGATCAATAGATCAAAAACTAATTATATCTATGTTTTATAAGATCTAATTGCAAATAAATCATATTCATATTCATTTATTGCATTTGTTGTATACATCAATCGAATGCCTAGATTAAACTTACATACTTATAGAAGTTTCAATTTAAAATGATAGTATGGTTAATGTATGAAGTTTTTCTTGTAAAATAGAAATAATAATATTCATGAAGATATGCACTTACTTCTCTGAGCTGTCTGATCTGTTCCTGTAGACCTCCGATGGCAGCATATGTAACGTCACCGGGATCTTCATGGCTCATGTTGTACACCAGAGGATCAACCTAAACAAAAGTATGAACTATATTGATATAACAGTAATAGTACATACAAAAATCAAGCTTCTGCTTAAATCATAAAGTATTTTTAACAATAGCATTACATTAGAAGTGAAACTGTTACATATAAATCGAGCATGAATATTAAAATCCGATATGTATTGTGCCAACATATTAGACTAGTATTTCTTAGACATTTTGCAGTCATGGATTACATGCAGAATTTAATAAATGTCTGGTTCTCTACTGACTTGGCTTGTTCTTCATTTCATTAAGGTAACAATGGTACAGGAGGGATTCTTGAATTTACTCAAACATGGCAGAATAACATAAGGAGGCAACCTTACATATTATAAAGGACTCCCACCATACCAGCCGGCGCTAATTATTTTGACATTTGCAGTGTGCAGCTAAAGAGAAAATTGCATATTCATCAACAAGACAAATCCAACAAGTATCTTAGTTGCGTTATAATAAAGCAGTAATGGATCACTAAATAGCTCAGTGATTATCACTTACATCTGTCATAAGCAGTTAGCGAATAGGCCTACTGAGCCCTCTATGTAGGGTTGAATGTTTGGGGCGGCAAAAAAATTATCAACAAATGATCATGCCTTGTTCATATCCAAAAAGTCAGCCTTTTGAATAGGAGCTACTAAAGGGTTCACATAATATCCCTTCATAAAGGCTGATGCACTCAAAAACCTGTTTTTCATACGGACACCCCACATCATGTACCAGCTGATCAAATTTTTTTCTGTCCTCAGACTGTTGTGTGAAACCTCCAGTAGCTTCTATTCAAAAGACTGATGCAGCCAAAAGTCATTTCCTGTTTGTTAATATTTTTTTTTTTGCTGCCCTAGACTTGTCTTATTTGACGTTCGGCCCTACAAGTGGCCTCAGGTTTGGTTGGCTTCACAAGGTGCAAGGTTGCCTGAAATTTTTACCCCTTTTTGTTATTCTGTTGCACTCAAGTAAATCCAAAAATCGCCGTTTGGGCTCCTCTACTACAAGTCTTTGTTACATCTTAACTTATTGCTCCTGTACTTACCTCTCTTGGTAAATGCCTCATAATAGTCAAGGTGGTCATATCTAGAGCAACTCTGGTGCCACCCTTCAGCTTGTTCTTGTCAAGCTGTCGCCGACACCCAACAACATAACGAGGACCATTTGTAGCTTTTACAATAACTGGAAATAAAAAAAAAGTAAATATCTATTAGTTTCCCATAATAATCCTTAAAAAAATATTTGTTACATACAAGTATTTCTACTGTAGACTTAGATTAATATGCATTTCTTAGTAACAGGTATGAGTAAATAGCTGCAACAACCAGCAAGAGGCATTGCTGGACAAACAAATAAAATGTGGGCCGACGCACAATTTTTCTTACATAAAATTTCAATCAACTCGGCATCCAGCCCAGTAATCTATATTTTAGCCTATAACAAATAATCTAGATCCTTTTTGGATAGTAATACAAGCTGATGATCACTTTCGTATGTCATAATTACAATGATAAACTCACATTTTTCTTCTGTTAATTGCTTCAGCACCTCCCCAACAATCTGACCAACACTTTGAAGGGCTTTCAGATCATTTTCACTCTTATCATATTGTTTGGTCAAGTCTTTCAACTGTTCTCTCACTATAAAAAGGAAAGGAAGTTAACCAATGTATTTTTAATTACATTAAATGAATTAAAACTACACTAAAAGAAAAGCATGAGACTTTAAACCTTTTAATCCTGTCACAATAAGAAAAACAGAAATATGTTAGCCCTGCATGATTCTGCATAAAATGAAGCGCCATGCACCGAAAATAATTATTCTTACTGTCTTTCAGCCTGGATTCTACTTCTTTGTGCTCCATCAATTTCTTTCTATAATCTTGAAACGCTTTTTCTCTCAGAGTATCCATTGTAGAACCTCCTGCAGGAATTTTCTTGCAATTTATTTTATTATTTCTTAAGTTAAGCTAGGTTCCTCTCCTTTCCTGAGCCGTGTTTTTGTTATTCCGGCACTTGTCTATTCGTATTTGCTTTTTATAAACTTGACAGTCTGTCCTTTTCATTCCTTATAAAGCATGGTAAGGACAGACTGTTGTCAAGTTCCCAAATAGCAAACACGATACTATTCGTTATTAGCCACTTGTTATTTTGACGGCAGGTTGTCCTTATTACACTCTATTGAAAATGAAAAGGAGAGACTTTTGTCACATTTACAAATAACAAATACGAATAGTTTTTTTTTTTGTTGAAGTTCTCCCGTTTTAGGGAAGGCAAAGGGAACAATGCCCATACAGCCTGGTCATTAATTAAATTAATCTTCTTTTTGTTTTTACATTAGAATGTCGGTGTGACGCATTCTAATGTTTCTTGGAGTGTTTGGCACGAAATGTATCGAGTTGGCTTTTTCGATAAGCTTCTGTGAGGTAGTCAACACTACAATAAAATTCTCACGTCCACTTGACCGGAATAGCGTATATTTTAACGATTCCACTTATTCTTCGGTTACGCAGACAGTTGTTACACAAAACCACACCAATTTTATTTCACAATATCCACTATGAACGAATATGAACCGCACTCGATGAAATCCCGCCAAAAACCAGTTTTTTTTTTAAATTAAACTTATGATTGAATCCAAATAGAATCGCATAAACTTATTTAAGCTCGCACTAGGATCTATGTTAAAGCGTAGTTAAAAATCCAAAAATAATATTAAAAGTTGGTTTCTTGAAAAAGATATTTCTTGTTTGTAATCCGAAGCCAATAAAAACCCTTTATTTGCGCGCTAGATCTAGTGCTTTTCTGGTGTGGTTAGCGCGTATTTCAAAATTTTAGCGTCTAGCGGATAATCTAGCGCTTTTTCATTTATGTCATTGTAGCACTCAATTACCGATAATTTATGGCATCGGGAAACCCCTCTATTATTATGTTTATAGCAGAACTACACATAACTGTTGGCTGGTGTTGTGATGTAACGCGTCAGAGAGGTATCGGTTTCATACTTCTAGTTTCATATATTATGTACGGTTAGAACTATGTTATGTGTCGCGATATTTCGACACCGTTCTCACTCTAACCGTATTGCTAAATGTATGAAACCGATATAACTGTGTGACGCGTCACAACACAACACGATGGATAAGTAGTAATTGGTAGTAATATTGCTGCCATTAGTTCATGGTTTTTTTTTCCATAATATAAATACTATTCTTTGTTTTCATTCATTCATGTTTAAATTCAGCTGGAAGTTAAAAAGAAATCATGTACATTCTGCGACAGATTAGGATTGAGATATATGAAAAATATTTTAAGACAAAAAATACATGAATGGCCATCTTAAAACTGGCCCTATAGAAGCTATAGAAGATTATTTTTGAATTAAGATTAAATATATTTATTTTGGTTGAATTTTGTCTGTTATTTATTTAATAAAAAAACTGAAATAAATTTATTTAGCGCATAATCTATTTATAGCGCTTTTTTGAAGCGCGTTTATCTTGAAATCTAGCGCTTTTTATATCGTTTAAGCGCTCAGTCGGATTTTTGATCTGGCAGCCCTGCCTTTTGGTGTGAGTGGTATCAAATATTATAGAAGGAAAAGCGCGGGAAACGTTTAACTTGGTAGACGCGTTTTATAGTGAAAACTTTATATAATAATTTTTTGATCAGAAGGGTACATTTTGTATATTTTTGTAAATATTAATTATTATTTAATATATTGTGTACATATTTGGATCATTGGTAAGTCCTCTTACTAATTTTTTACCGTCATGAACGATCCCCCCGATGACCCCCGGGGATTCGTCCCCCCGGCAGGTAATTTTGTCACTGTGCAGTCGGAATCAGGAATGGATACTGATGCATCCACCTCCAATAGGACATTAAAGCGGAGTCGCCGCTCCAATATTATTTGCAAACACTGCAACAAAAAAAGAAGGAGACATGGTAACTCTGAAGCTAAAATAAATGGTTGTTTATGTACATCTGAATCAGATTTTACTCCTCCACCAGTTCCATTACCCATGCCAGAGTCTTCAAATCCCACTACAAATATAACTGCTAATACAACATATGAAAAGATTTTACCTTCATCTACCCCAATTGGCCGGAAAAATTACTGTGAGACTGACGTAGCTCCTTTTATTCTTCACGTCCAAAAATATTAACATCCCCTGATGATAAATTCACAATTCACCCTGTGAAGTTTGGCAATTTTTTAAAGAAAAATAGATTCCCAAATATTGTTAACGGAATTGTCAAGAAAGTAGGTCGCAATAAAATTGCTATTGGTTTTAGTAATTATAAAGATTGCAATTCCTTTCTAAATGGGTCAGGCCGTAAATTTTGCCACATTAGTTATAACATAACTCTCCGCCACATTTTTAAAAAAAAGTACGGTAATTACATTTTTTTCAATAACAGAATCATATTTCCTCACAAATGGTAAATCGCGATCAATAAATATATTTAAATATCTTCAAAACCTTAGAAATTTATAAAATATTTCGCTACAAAAAGCGATGAATTTTTCGTAAAATACACATCCGGTAGAGGTGCACTTTGAGCATCAGTAAAATCAAAAATAAAAATCTTTTTGATAGTCTGTTTTTTTTTACGCTATACAATAATAGTTAGCTAGCCACATTTTAAATATCGTTTCCTATTACCAAAGAAATTTCATAAATTTTCACTCATTTTCGAAAAACGTTAAAATCCATTCCTTTGCGTAAAATAAATAAACTTAAGGTAAATTGTAAAAAAAAAAAAAAAAATTCTAGATTGTCAAATCTAACGTCAAAGTCAAATGACTGTCAATGTCATGTCAATGTCTAATGTAATTTTTTAAATATGATGTCTAAGGTATTTATAATATTAAGCCTACTTAGTCACTTCAAGTCTCTGTCTGTATAATTGTTTTTATTTTTCAAAAAAACCATACCATAGCATAAGCTATGGTATGGTAACTACTTTAGTCTATAAAGACTAAAGTAGTTGCTGCCGCCATCTTGTCTTGTCGCGTCTTACGTGCGCAATGCACAATGTGTCCCTGAGATTTATTTATTAAAAGAAGATTTCAAGCATCTACCAGTCTCTTATTCAAGAATACATAATACAACCATAAAACAATATGTACTGTAGATTTATCTATTTCTTCTCCAAGCTTAGCCTCTTCTTTGTCTTGGGAGACTCTTACATATACATATGGTAGTGACCACTATAGTCCAGTCAATGAAGGCTTAACTTTGCCATTTTGAGTTGATCACCTGCAACCAACGCGAAAATTTCCGCAAGGGTTCGTAGATTAATATACTAAAATTGCAGGGTGCTGCATTGACGGCAAAGGGTGAAAAAAAAATGCGAAATGGTGCAAAAACGAGTTTTTCGTCAATATCTCGCGACTGGCTGGAAAAATAGAAAAAGTTTGTAGTACAAAGTTGTAGAAAATTTAATTTCCTACAAAAAAGGTATCAACTTATTTTCGCGTATCTCCTATAGTTTTTACACAAAATGCAATTAAAGGTGCAAAATAAAAAAAGAAAAAATATTGTTTATGGTTTTTTTCCATTTTTAAACGATCCTACGGGGCAAATTCAACAATCACCAATTACTGAAATATTTAAGGATGAGTTTTCGGCAGTCCACTGAAATGAAAATTGTCTACCGAAATGGTAAAAAAATTACCACCGAAATGATACAGCCAAGAACATCGCCTTTGTAGTAGAAGGGTTCCCTATTTTGAATTTAAATAAATGTCTTTATTCTTTGTAAATATTTTTGTTCATTATTTTTTAATAAGAATTATTAATGAAGAATTAATTAATTGTTACTCCTATTAAATATTATTACTAATTATAATTATTAATATGTACATTTTCAAAATAACGAACAAAGCGCGTTTAGAAAGCGAGAAGTTTATTATTAGTAAATCGTCCCCTTAGTGCCAAAACCGATTATCTGCACTTTTCCGCTACTGAACTTTTATAATACCAATCGACCCGTCTCATTAAGCCGCATCTACAGGTAAAACCCATTATGCTCTACGACGCATATTTCCTGAAATAGCTAATGAATAAACAAAATAACTGCAAATTATTTCCAAAATTCTTGATTTAAAACCTAATAAACCCATTCAAAACACTTAAATTTGTAAACGTATTAATTGTTGAAACCAAGTTTCGGATTTAAACTCATTTTTCATGTAGACACTTAAAATATCCTGTGAGTATCCTGTAATTGGCTTTGACTTGACTGTTTGAATTTTACTAGATGAAGTAAAAACTAACAAATCTGTCGCTTTTTGCAAAAAAAATATATATAGAATATTTGCGTTATATTTGAGGCAAGTAAAAGAAGATACCGAATTTTAATTTGTTTTTACTGAATAACTTTTATTTGACGCTATATAGATTACTTCAGCTAAAATCGATTATCAGTGCTTACTCTTTTCTTCCACTATAATTTATTATCGTTAGTAATCGTTACTTTAAAATTTATGCTTCAGCTAAAACCAGTTATCCATGTTTAACCGTCTTTTCCGTACACAGATCGTGCGCTAGCGAGTGAGTTGCTCACTTTTATTCATTCATTGTTGAATCGCGCGCTGGGCAACACTGTTATTCTTTTGTTTAATTAATCACTAATAAACATTACTGGGTGAACTATTCTGCGTATTTAGTTTAAAATGATGGCTACTAAGAAAGATGACGAAAAATATAGTTAAAAAAAATATTTAATTTTATTATATGATAATTTAATTTTACCATTTCTTTTTCTTTCATCGTGTTCAGCGCAAAATTTACGTTTAAAACATATATTTGCAATATTTATTATCATTATCATATAATAAAATTTAAATATTTTTTTTGTCAAGATTATTATATGAAAAAAGGAAATAATAAATAAATAAATACCCGAAACATATTAATCAAATCCTAATGAAGCATGTAGGGGTAAACTCCCAGAGCAAAAAAAATTACACGGTATTCCTCAGAGCGGCAGTGCAATGTGCTGATTTATGATTTTGTATTTTTTCTTGGTTAAGTAGGTACTTCTCAACCTTGGCAA